TAGGTCTCACCAAGTAATATAATGAACGTGCAGGTGCAAAAAACTTCATTTTTGGAAAATGCAGCTGCTGAAATCTTTGTTATGTTGGTACAGAGAAGGCTTCTCGGGGGGTGTGCCACAATTTGCATTCTGCATAGAAGATTAAACGGATTCATTTGCTGATTATTTCTTAAGAAAACAGTTGGAAAAAGCATTTAGGAGCGGAAATGTACTCGATGTATTAACTTTGATATTTTAAAACGTTTAAACTTCGTGCCCTTTCGTTTTTTATTTGTTTGGAAAGGAAGATAAACTTGGCCTTCTTTTTAATATTTCAAAGACTGCCTCAGAGAAATTCAAATAAAAAACCAATTTCGAAATCAATATTAATACCCACTTTAAAGCGTTATAGTTAATGGGTATGACTAGGACGCGTTATGGGCAAATTTGCAATAAGGGAAAGTCATTTAAACGGCGGTTAATTGGAAATATCACAATGTATCTATTAATTCGAAGCAAAGGACCGAGGGGATTGAATGCGAATTTTTACAAATTTCTTGATATGAAATAAAACAGAAATGTTAATGAATACCTCAAACTGAAAGGAAAACTAATAAATTGATTGAAAAACATGCCGACCTTATTCCTTATTAAAAATAGAGTGGCAGAGTGGAGCAGTAGATTGGTAGAGCCGGCCACGTCATCAGTAACAATTTTTTCTTGTTTTCCTGATCTGAAAAACAACAACTTGAAAGAACGATGTCCCACGAATCAGAAATACGTTTTTCACTCGTTAACTGAACTTAGAAGTGTGCTTTTAGACAATTCAGTCATGTTAGGCATTAAAAACTGCAAAAATGACTGCTAATTAAAAGGTTTAAAAGGATCTCAAATTAATTTTTAGAGCAAATTGGCTTTGGGTTCATTCTATAAACTGTGCCGAAAGGTTTGAACCCAGGAGTCATTTCAAAAGTAGGTTGAGTTTGATCGTCTGGGTGAACGTAGTCCTTAATAGGAATGTTGTTGTTGACAGTGACTGACGTTTCGACAACCTGTGCGGTAGTCATATTTAGAGTCAAAGTGAGTTGTATCACGTCAGTTAATTCTCTGGTTAGGGTTATAAGCTATGAAGACTCGTAATCAGTAATTGGTGCGTTTCGATCCGTCTACATTCATAGTTTTAAACAGTCGTCTATTGTTAGTCAAATTGGTAGTTCTCCAGTCGTTCTCTCGTATGTAGTTAGTTTTGCTTGATCTCGTCAATAAGTCGTTTTTACGGCGCTGGTAATTGTTGGCTACGATTCAGTGGCGTTTGTTTTAAGCTAATAAACCAGCTTTCTAAAGTAAGACGTTGATAGTAGTCTGTAGAATACATTATACATGTCGCAGAGTCCCAGTCAATTTGTTGTTCATTCTATGTTAGACATGTTACCAAAGCGAGTGAGAAAAAAAAGACGAAAACCTCAAAACATTCAAGCAGCTTTCTGTCTCTGCCAGTTCTCGATTGATCCTATTATTTTAATCACAAAAAAGCGGGATTACTTGCGGAGTCAGTAGGGGAGCAAACATTATACAGTAGAACAGTGCGAGCCCGGGGGGGGGGTACTCCCTAATATGGGCCATATAGGTATGTGTGGCCCCAAAGGGTAGGGTTTTTCAGCCGTTTTGGTCATAAATTGGGTATCGATTTTGGCTATTTTGCCGCCATTTTGGTCATAAATAGGATAACGATTTTTGCACTGTAGTCTTGAATGCACTTTTTTAGAAAAAGCTACTTCCTTATCATGTCCCCCTCCTTCCATCCGCGCTTTGCCTTCCTCTCCACCGGCTGCTTTGTAGGCTAGAAAATACAAGCAACAAAAGCCATAAATAAGGTCATAAATAGGGTATCAAATTTTTGGTTAGGTCATAAATAGGGTAGGGAAAATCGCAGATTTTGGTCATAAATAGGGTAAGGGTTTTGGGAAGCGGGCCGCACACCCCCTACCCAATTTTTCTGCGAGTACCCCCCCGGGAGTTCGAGTTAGCGGAGAATTGGAGTTATCGGGGTAAATCTCAGTGGAATTTTGATCAAGAGAAAGGAAATTTAGAGTTAGAATTATCGAGGTTCTACTGTAATCTCTAACATTAGTTAACTTTTATTTTACTTTTTTCATTTGTCGTTGTTTTGGTACTGAAATCTTCATGTCGAAAAATTCAATAAAGTTGTTGTCGTTATTAGTTTATAAACCTGACCACCCGAGATTTCGAGAGAGGTGAAGCCTTTTAATTAAGGCCAGTGATTGTTCTTGATCTGAAGATATGATGAATGTCCTGCAGTGCCTCCGTTTCGGTACTGAATAGACTCAGGTTTAGAGTATCCCGTCTCTTAGTGTGAGAACAGGACAACAAAACGGTTATTGAAATGTGTTTCTTTCGAATAAGTCTCGATGTTTTTAAAAAAACACCAAAAGGAAAGCCCCCAACACGCGGGTCTTTGTAAAAAACTCGGCGATAGCCATCGAGTTACCGAAACTGGAGCTTTAAATGTGATGTTACACGAGACCATTCGCAACGACAATTTTTAGCGCAACACAGCCTTGCAACATTGTTGCGACATTGTTTCGAATGGTTACAACATCGCTCCTGCATCGCAACGCTGTGTTGCGCTTAAAATCGTCGTTACGAATGGTCCAGTGTAACATCACCTTAAGCGACTCTGAACTCCAGCGCAGAAAGGAAAGAAAAACCGGTTTAATTGCGTATTTTCCATGTCTTCTAGGTTATAACAGAGAATGTCGAAGAATGGGTTGATTCTATAAAAGGCTAAACATTTACTATTATTGTTTTTTTTTCCCGCAATGTTCACAAAAGCCTTCTCTTTTAGTTTATTTGCCCAAGATATAATATATGTCAAATCGAGAAGTGACAGTAAAGTGTGGATTGAGACAGTATTGAAACAAGTCTTCAGTTCTCTTTTTGAAAAAAAAAATGTTTTGTATTTAAAAGAAGGTAAGGAGGTGTCAGCTTTGTCTTAACTGGTAATGACAAATGAAATGAAAAATACTCTATACAAGAACTTGACAAATGAATCAGAAAGATAAAGATAACTTATTTCGCGGACATATTACTAGGAGATATTACTTCTCGGCAAATCCAGCAATATTTCTGTGTAAACCAATAAATCAAGTTGTCACCAATTTTAAAGACACGCCGCGGTATAGTGCAATTCTCGAAAATCAAAAATTAATAACTATTCAAAAAAAAGTGTCTTTTTTGACACAGACTATACGACGTCCTGGTGATTGATTTGTAACCACGTAAATCAAGATGAAATAGCAATCTCCGATAGGTGTGTTGTTTATAATAAAAGGCTGAGTGTGTACCCTGTCACTTTTAGGTATCAATCGTTCATGTTAATCGCGACAATTGTAAGGACTGTAACCCAGGGCGTCTGACATGATTCATCAGGAGTATTTACCTTTGCTAGCGAAGGCCATTAACTCTGAAAAAGACCAAGTTCATTTTGAGTATGACAGCGGTGAACAAAAACACCATTTTCGTATGCCAGCACGCTTTTTCCCCGAATAAATTTTTGGTGAGAGGAAATCCCCAGTTTTTTTCCGTAGCACGGACAAAATCTTGAAGACATTATTTTTTTTTCTTGAAAAGTAAGAGGTAATTGCTGCCGGCTTCCAAAGGAAAATTAGAGGAGGTGTGTCACGAAATTTATCCGGCGAAATTGAAACATTGGGAACCGCCACCAGACTGAGTGAAACATAAAAACAACCGCTTAGAACATCAAAAAGAAGAAAAAAGAACACTGAAAATACAAAAGGAGGCATGGGTGACAAACTTGATCGAAGCGTTTTGCAGTTTGGGTACTTTGGAAAATTTGTGAGCCAAACAGTTTTTCCGCAAAGTTCATTTTTGTTGTTTGTAACTTTTGATTTTTTGTTTGGGAGACATATTTTCTGGACACGAAGCTGTAATGTTGCCATTGACAAGTAATTCTTCAAGTTCCATAGCGAATGAGGACGCGTAATTGGCTTTATTAACAACTTATGAACTAGATAACCGTAACTCACGCGGCCCCTTTGATTCTCATTCGCTACGTTCTTATTAGACCTTTTCACGGTTTTTTTAAACTTTTGACATGGACAAGTTACGGAAAATCCGTCGACACCAATTAAAAGAGCGCCTTAAGATTAGTAAAATTGCTCAGTTTGAAAGTGTTTCGTTGAAAACTAACAAAGGTATAGCTCCTCATAGTCGCGAAATTTTACACAAACTTGCCTCCACCAAAGTTTCGCAACTTTCCGGAGCTGCATCTTCGCTTGCTTGAGACGTATCACTTTCAAATTTGGCAGTTATACTAATATCAAGGCGCTCCTTCCAGTGGTGTTAACGGATTTTCCCTAACTTGTCCATGTCAAAAGTTGAAAAACCGTGAAAACGTCTCCTAGCGAACCGAGCGGGTAAAATTGGTTGTCTTGCCTCATTTGATTATGCAAACTGGCGCAAAAAAAAAGCTCTTGCCATCTTAACCTGACTCTTGGTCAATAAAAATAACGTTATCGGATTTTCCTTCAGCCTACGCGACAAGACCACTAGTTTGCCTTTGAAATCAGTTTTATGTCACGAGTTGCTTCATGGCTGAGTTTGGGTAAATATTTATGAAATAGACCTCTTTGACTGGTATGTTTTGTTTTCCCAATAGAGGTCCCAGGGGAATAGCTATGCATTAAGCATGACGTTTACAGCAAACGGTGAACGTGAGATTCAAGTTGCAAAATTTTCAAAATGAGAAATGGGCTGGTAAAAACAGGTTAAAACAATTCTTATGTGTAGAACTGGCGTGAATCTACCGATTTTCGTTAGTAAACGACAAGGAAAGGGAAAACTTGGTCACCTGGTACAAACTCACGTTTGCCGTAAACGTGATGATTAATTTAATCTCTCTAACGTCGAAAATTGACTTTGACAACAGTGAAGCAGTTGTATGTACAATATACGCATTTGTCCCCAGGCGCTTAACTTAACCGAGTAAAAAACAGTCGACGGAAAATCGGGCTTTTATTATTTTTCTTTCATACAATATTTAAATAATTTTAGTACCCTTAAGCTTTCCCTGCATTTTCCCAGAGATTAGTAAGAACAGTATGTTGTTCTTTTCTGCTGATTGTTACAAGAGTGAATGCATAGTACGTATTTCCCTCATAAATGTTATCAAAACTCTCAACGTATCAAGGAAAGAAGGAGGTGGCCCAGCTATCAATTCCTAGGAATCGAACACGGCTTTCAAATATCGTCGAAAGATCATCAGGCTAACAGGGCTGGTTTAGAAGTATGACGCAACTACAAGAATGAATAATTCATAAGAGCGTTTCATTATAAGCACGTTTGCGGCGACATGCACAGACATGAAAGCAAAAAGGTTCGGGGGTACTCATTCTGAGCGGGCGAAGACGATTTGAGAAAAGAGCGTCAAAGAAGTCTTGTTGTGTTGTCATAGATTAGACATCTAACACAACCAAAAGCATCAACATAGGCGAAAAGAAAATCATAAGTTTCGCGTGCTTGTGTTAGCCTTCGAGTAAGCTAACCGCGATAGAACGCGCGAGCGAGCCGCGAGAGAACGTGCGAAAAAGCCGCGAAGCCGCGAGGGGCGGAGGAAAAGAAGAGCTTGTAACGATCTCTCATAAATTTTCTTTTTTGCTTTCTTCACCGCTCCGATCCTGACACTCGCGTTTCCTATCGCGCGCGGCTTTCGCGTGACTTCTCGACAGCCTCCAAATAAAGAGCTTGCTCGCGCGCTAGCTTATGGTTGCGTCCAGGCCGAAATCTCCTTCCCACAACCCTAATGAAAGGCCTTTACTCTATTGCAACGTTTTGTCTGATTCTCTAACAGTTTCATAGGACATAAAAGGCCATTACGATGGCTCTAGGTTGCCCCCTCTTTCTCGTTTATCCTCTATAGACGATTATCCTTTCTCCTGCATTTCAGCCTCGTTCACAGATAACTTCAATTACCTACAGAATAACAAAACAAGTTGATGAAAATGTGGTTAGTATACGTCCTCGAGGATACTTAAGAACGATGAAAAAGGGAATTCGGAAAAATTAATATAATATAATCCTCCTAGATGGGTTACCCTCCTTTAATTTAAACAGCGCCTGAGAGGATTATGAAAAATAAATTTAAAGAGTTCTTCAAACATAGACAGAGAAAACAATATTTAAGGGTTTCGACGCCTGACAGCCATTATTTTAAAAGTAAAAAACACAAAAGGTGTCAGGAGCCTTCAGTGGGTTCCTGCAGGTGTTGATTATGCAAATCATGCAAAGTCTTCCTGTCGAGGCATCCCGACCCCCACCCGAGTAGGGTAAAGTTCAATTGGTTCCATATTAGGGTCAGCAGGTATGCTTTCTTATTCCTATCTATCAGGATTTTCGGTAGCATTTGGAAGTACCGGATGCAGTGGTTCAGCTGGCGGACGTGCACCGTTCGCGCCAGTTGAGTGCCGGAGGCACGAACTCCTAGGGGCGTCCGGGAGTATGCCCCCCTGGGAAATTTGTAAAATTGGACTCCCTAAAATGCAATTTGCTGCGCTCCCTGGACCGGAATTGGGTAACCAGAATTATGACAGGAATCATCTCTTTTTTTTTTTTTCGATTGTATGCATTACATAACTAAGTAAATAAAATAAGGGTCAAGTCTTTCTTTGGTTAATAAATGGAAAAAAAACGATTTTCACACTTAAAAAAATAATTATTTCGTGTGTGAACTGCCGGACGTTACATGTCAAACAACCGGACGTTGCGTCCGGCGTCCGGCCTGAAACGAAACCCCTGATCTATATTTAATAGGAGAATAGGCCATCTGCACTGAGGTCATGTGACATCATTCTTATGAAAATGAAAGTTATATGATTTTGACTTCAAAAAACGATTAGCGCGGCCAATACAAATCATACTACTTTGTTGAAAAATCAAAGTGCCATAAAATATCTCCCTTAAATGCGTTTCCTCTCAAATTTCGCGTGTAAGATAATTTTTATGCACTCTGTCAATTGTTGTCATCAACGGGATTTCAAGTCATTATTAAAAGGAAGCATTGGTCATGTAACCTCTCAGTGCAAGTGACCTATTCGGTCTGAAGCGAATGCTTTTGTTGATTCATAGCTTAAACTTGACGCTTTCTTGCTCGTCTATTTTACTTGATTCTCAATCCATTATATGATTGTTGTGAAAAAGATGATTCGGGAGAATCAGTGATCACATCCGGCAATTCTACTTTTCAATAAAATCCTGCATCTAGAAACTGAAAAACTCCATGAAATCACCTTCTTGGTTTGTAGTTTGCGTGCAAAAAGAACAAAAAGGATACCTTTTTTGACGAATTCACTTCCCTGCAGAAAACTTGAAAAAAATGACGTATTTTTTTCAGATAAGGTGGAGTACTTCTAGGTTTTCGCTTGGCTATAAGTTTTTTGCGGTTTCTAGCTCCAGGATTTTATTGAAAAGTAGAATTGCCGGAAGCGATCACTAATTTGGAAGGAATATAATTTGTTGTCATGGAATCGGGCTCGGTAATACTTACACTAGGCTCCATGAGCTCTGTTGAGATGCATCTGTTTACAGCACTGTTTACCACCTCTTCCAGCATAAAATGGACAAGACTGAAAAAAACAAACAAACAAACAAAGAATATACTCAGAATGATAATGAACTTCTCGCGAATCGTTCAATTTACCAGAAAGAAGAAAAAAGAAAATTTTAATTATCCTCTCCCCTTATGGGGCTTTTCTGGGATAATGAGCCAATAATTCAAACGGAACATAATATGGTTAAGAATCCCAACGGTAGAAGGCGAACCAGATCGCTGTTTACAAGCCTGTTCACAGACCCTCTGTTTTCTCTTTAGAGATACTCGAGCGCGCTTAAGAAAATGAAAATGTGTGCGTTTCTAGACAAAGGTGGGCGGTTATCAAGGAAAACGTTTCGTGAAACAGCGATGACGTGCGCTAAAAAGTCAACCTCGTCCCCAGGGCGCTTTTCCCTGGCTTTGGAGGCGCCCCACCTCCAAAGCCAGGGAAAAGCGCCCTGGGGACAAGGTTGCTTAAAAGTCATAAAGCCCTGTTTGTGGGGTGTGGGAGATTTTGATCCACGTCGTGTTCTTTCATCGTGGTTACCAGCAGATCAAAAAAGGTAAACCATTAGCTGCCGTTAGCTTCCCTATGAGCTTGAAACGGGCGTTATTGAAGGGGCAATTAAACAACCAAATAAAGTTAGATAAATATTACAAATTTGAAGAGCAAGCCATACTTCTCATCAGAAACAAATCTCCACAAATACATCTGTAGGTAGTGAGTATCCACTTGAATTTGCTGAAGACCGTATTTACCAAATGTACGGAGTCTGACGCACTCTACTAGAGTCTAAAAACAAAATAGTCAAGCGCATTAGATACAAAGGACTCATGTGGCCAAAAATGACCCACAATGTCGAGGCCAATTCGTGCGCCTGATAAAGGAGCATCAAGAGTATCGCCCATTCGTCCTGGACGAGATGCTAGTTTACTCCTAGCCTGGAACCAGGCTAGGAGTTCTGAAAATTAACGGGCCCGAAAAGCTGTTGTCGTTTACATTAAAGATCGAGGTTTCAATAGTTTACAGATAATGTGATAGAACTGTCAGGAATAAAAATAAACTGTACTGGTTTCGTAGCTAGGAACCATGCTTTTTTGTATTTTGATCTGAATATTTTATTTCGGGCCCGTAAAGCTACCGGGACATTCGAGAAACCAGCCCCAGGCTCTTCAGGTGGGGGAAAAGGACGAATAGAGGGGGAACCTAGCGGGGGATTGAGGAGGACCTTTTACTCTCGCCGGTCCCTCGTTCCCTGATTTTTTTTTCCTGCGCCCATTGCTCGCCTTTTTTCCCCACTAGCCTGGTCCCAGGCTAGTTTACTCCACTCCGCCTAGCATTAAAGACTTTGAGCTTGAAGAGTACGACTTTTGAAGGGATGCCGTTTAGTCACTCTTTCCCCACGAGGTAGAGAAACTTGAGTGGTATGACATTTGATTGTTCTTGAAAGGCGCAAGAATTTCGTTAAAGACTCAATTTTTCCCCATCCTCGGAGACCCAGGGCCAGATAGTGGGGGCGAGGGAAAGTCTAAACGGGCGGAAAAATATCGCACGAAGAAAAGTAAGGAACGGCGAGAAGAGCCCCTGGGGACAATGTCTTACCAGACCAGTTCCAAACGGTCGCCGCCGTTATGACTTCTGATTGGTGCCAGGAAACTTTTGTGTTTTTCTGCCCAATCAGAAGGCAGAACGGCGGCGACCATTTGGAACTGGTCTTGTAAGGCATTGTCCCTAGGGGCTCTTCTCGCCGTTCTTTACTTTTCTTCGTGCCTTATTTTTCCGCCCGTTTAGACTTTCCGTAGCCCCCACTATCTGCCCCTGGGTCTCCGAGGATGATTTTTCCCTCGCAATCCAAGCCTTTGGCAACAAAGTATTTTACGACACGCTTCCTTCACTCTACCTTCAATCCTATTTTGACTATGCCGGTTAATACCGACACCTTTAAGAAATCCACGGAGCTGAAGATCTCAATTCTTTCGGAAAATAACTTCTGTATGTTACTAAGAAGGCTGGAATCGAAAGCCGTACTAAAAGAAAAAAAGAGAGAATTGTTTAAAATATGAACTTGTTGCATAGAAAGGAGAAGCAACAGAGAAAAGAAAAACAGTAAAGCTATTTGTACCAGTTTGTTGCGGTAAAAAACGATAACAGCAACAATAACACATCATCAACAACTACAAGACTCGGTACCTGGCGGTATAACTCCACTGAGACCTACTGGGCTTGGACGGGTATGTGTACGTGAATTTACTGGAATCTAAAACACAAACACAAACACAAGGCTAAAACCACTCTCGGGGTTTCAAGAGCGAGATCTGTCACAACCTACTTCTAGAATTCTGCTTCGTTCACGTGGCACTGTAGTCTTAATTAAGACTAATTCCTAATTCCTCAGGCACAGTGGCCGGGTACGGTACTCACTGAGCACTAATGTAAACGCAGCCTTTTTTCAAGTATCCACACCGGATTTGGGAACGGTGCCGCTGCGTGACCTTGTACTCGGCGACTAAAGTGGACACCGGATACCTCAGCGCACACGTATTCGGTTATTTCAGAGGAAATTCACAGCAAGTTTCAAAATGGCGTCTGACAGGTCAAAACGGTGCTAGTATGTAAACAGTTGCATTACGGGTAACTAAGGTGTGAACACAACACCATTTTGTGCATAAGGGTAGGCTTCAAAATCGACAAGAAAACTGAATCGACTTTGTCATCGTAAAAACCCTGCACAAACACAGCTCTTTCTGTGAGAAGAGGTTTTAAGACTTCGAAAAAACACAACCCGGGATATTGAAGGATTGGTCAAAGCACAAAAAAAGTGCGAGGAAACAAAACTGTACGATCCACACCTGAACTATGAGCTTTGCGCACTCCTTCCTCGTAGAGTTGACCAACTTGTGTATCAATGGCTGTCACATCTTCCACGATACGTTTCATAACAGCCCGTACATTCCGAGGTTCAATCGTGTTCATCCAGTCACGTGTCTCTACACTCTTACGAATCATCTGCAGCGTACAAGTAAAATACCAAACCGTCACTACAACGGATACCATTTTTCACTCTCTTGGTAAATTTAATGGTCTGTCTCCCATGGAAACGAGTTACATCTCAGTTTGCTGACTGTTTAGGACGGGTAACTGAGCGGGGTTAGTGGAAGAGACTGAATCATCTAACATAAAGTTATGCTTTTTTTGATAACACGGTTCGTACAACTTCAGACAAACACATTTCAAGGACTTTTAAGGGATTTTTCAAGGACAAATTACCGTTTTCAAGGACTAAGAATTATTCAATAAATCGGCATTCTTTAACCCCCTTTTGAACGCCTTTTTGGCTAAAACACGTAATGGAGTCATTTACGATTTTTACTTCTTCAGCTATGGTGGATCACACTGTTTTATACTAGTTTCCGCAACAACGCTTTGGAAAATGACTGGGTATGACTTGCAATTGCATCTGAGGTGCAGAAACAGCATTCAAAATAAAGAAACAGAAGTAAGACATAGCTCATACACAAAAATGTTTTTAGACGGACAAGGTAGTGAATTTCAAGGATTTTCAAGACGTAATAAAGAAATCAAGTACTTTTCAAGGACCTTTTTTTTAAAGATTGTACGAACCATGGATAATATAGTGCACGAGAGAATGTCGAGTGAGTGGGAAACTACTTGTGCTTTGACTCTCACGCAATCTTAGGCCATTTTAGGCTCCTGTCCTGGAGAATAGACCTTTTTGGCTCGTATGTTTTGTTTTCCCAATTCAGATCACGTGATGCTGTCCAGGGAATTTAGCTTTTGTTTTTTCTTAAATTATGCATACATATGCCCGTGAATGTACGTGCGGTGCATAGGACGACATCTGAAAGAAACAGATCCCTAGGGTACGATCACGTTGTCTGGAATGGGAAAACAAAACTTACGAGCTAAAAAGGTTTATTGGTTTTCAGCAGAAATTCTTGGTTGAGTACAGTGCTATTGCTGCCTCAAAGTTCGAATACGCCACTTGCACCTTTGTTTTTCATTTCTCCTGGGTATTACAGCCGTCCCAAGAGAAATTGAAAACAATGCTTATGCAAAATTTTGGGGGGCAAATAAGGTGCATTATGGGAGGTTTGCAAGTGGTAAATGAACGGAAAGGCATCGTTCAACAAGTCTCACAATATGATAGTTTCATGATTGGCCAGATTAGTCGTGAACGACATACCTGTGATATTGTGAGTCCTTGCATCCTTACATAATGGTTTAACAAGCTCTGTAAAGGAAAACAAACAGCGCGCGCTCTCATTGGTTTACTCCGAAACCACATGACATCTACATATTCCACTGTTTCCCGCCAAAGATCTCTGAGCGGGCAACATCGCAAAATCAGTGATGTCAAAGGGTAACATTGCACTGTTACCGCGAATGTTGACCGCTCGCTGACAATTACTTTCATAATTTTTGTACTCGTACTGGAAGTATTTTTCCGTGGAATCAAGACATAAAACAAATCAGCTAATGACTGGTCGCTCGGAAGAAGCGCTAATTTTGTGTAGCAGGAATCGCAATTTGTTCCGAGGTGAGGCACAAAAATGAATTTGGAGTCCCCGATGGGATTGGATCCCATACCAAACACCGGGCCGGCACTCTATCCATTGATAAGATCCGGGTTGGTCCGGTAACTCAAAACTTTCATCTTTAAGTTTAACAAACCGAAATTACCTTCCCAAATGCCATCGTGAATTGCAAAAAGAGTAGCTGGTTATAAACAAGAGAGTGCTTGGATGGACCATTTATCCCAGAATAACCTTAGAAGTAAGGCGCATAATTAAGGGGCCTAGAGAGGATTTGATAACTGACCTGGGCAGTGTGACGAGCCTCAGTGGCAAGATCAGAAGCAGAAGTCGTTAGACTTCCTCTCCCCAGCTCCTCATCGACTGGAAATTGCTCATCAGTGAGACTCAGCTGACATGAAAAATACTGACGTTTTATCAATTGCTCACTTTACTCTTACTAAGCAACAAATTGAAAGAAAACTAAGAAAAATATTACAAATCTTATTTTGGGCAACATAAAAAAGCCAACAAACTGAAACAAAGAACATCATTGACAAAAAGTTCTCAACAACTCTAGTTTGATGCGTGTCTTCTTGATGACTACGGAAACAAACCTTCGTACTTTAAGTCTTTTACACCTTACAGTGGAAATTCCTATAAGCGGCCACATTTCGCAGTGAATTCCCTGACCGTTGCAACAACAAAAGGTGGCCATAAAGGAGGGGTTTAAATAACAGTAGAGCCATGCAAGCCTTTTTGTCCTTTTTATAGAGGGAGGGATTGTTCGAACTGTTCGTAGTAAAGAAGTTACGACTGTACTTGGGATAAATTTAAAAAAAGGCAAAGAGGGGAAAACATTCGGTTGAAGAAGTTGGCTGTTGTCATTCCTAGGGATTACCTACATGAAGGGATGGAGCCTTGGCTAGTCAACGCACAGTGTACCCAGCTACGAGCGACACTTAAAAACACAGCTTACAAGAAAAGCACATACCACATAGGAGATGGTGGATTCTTGAAAATCAAGACACAGTCTTGACAGCAGCAGGATAAGGGCAGGTGGAGCGGTCCCTACATCGCAAAACTCCTGAGAATATACATGGATCGCAGAAAATGCTATGTTAGAAGCCACATGATAAGGAACATAATCAAACAAGAAAAAGATATTCACGGAACAACACTGCAATTGACTGATTTTGGAGACATCACCTCTTTGTTAGAGGTATGGTACTGACCTTAGCTGACTGTATCACGTGACGAACAAACTCCACTGCCAGTCCTTCTCTGACGTCATCAGAACAGAACGGTCCTCGAAAGTAGGGTTTGACGGCAAATGTGACGTCATTTGCGATGAACGTCTGACAAAACAAAACAACAAGTGCTCTTTTTCTTAGGTAACTTTATATGTGGGAACGATATTTCTGTCGCAATTTCTTTTACTTAAATAAGCGGGCTTTGGATTTCATCAAAGAAGTACTGAACTTCACTTTTCGCTGTGTACGAAATACCAAAATTTGGGCTGATTAACGTTCTGGTTGTAACAAAGAAATCATAGTTCAGACAAGCTGAACTGTCTGACTAACTGCACAAACCTTGAGGTTGTTGAGGGTCATCTTCAGTCGGTTGGTGAGAGAATTGTTCATGGTAGACAACAACTCAGAAAGGGAAGGAGGCTTCTCGCTTCCAGAAGGCGGCGAGGGAGCAGCCAGGGACTGTCTGATATCTGTTAAACAAACTTTACACACAAACATCTACTAAGCTATAAAGTACGAGTAAAAGGTAGGGGTTGCGTTTTGAAGGCTCAAGGATAGAAACGGACTTAATCAACGTACAGAGATTTTAGTTTCTTTTTCTGAAACTTATAACTTTGCTACTGCAAAAGATATTAACAGAGGAATTAATCCGACATGAAACGGTAATAACATCCTAAATGAGTTTTATTAATCAATATTTGTAAGAAAAAGATGGCGCTTGATCGATAATTCATAATCACAAAGTATATTTACATCGACTTTTGTAGCATTTACAAAGGGGTTTGTTTTTATCGCTAGCTGGAAAAAGAATGATAGGCGCTGCTCACAAAACACGAACATGGATCATTTTGAAAGCATTTTAGGCTTCCAATTTCCAAAAACCATTTGACCAGCCGAATGGAAGACGAAGAACCATCATGTAGATGTGCGACCTCTAAATCGTTATTTAGTTACTTATTTATTTATTTATTTATTTATTTTATTTTATTTTATTTATATAAATGCTTTGGTGTTTATAAAACATGGATTAAAATGTCTCTAACTTACCCTGAAAGTGTTGTCTAAGATTTTGAGCATAAGCTTTCACTCTGTTATGGGCTGAGCGGGCAACAATATTTGCTCCCAAACTATACAAAAATAAATAAGGACCCGTCAACTCATACCCGGGCATTTTTGAATTCGTAACTATTTCTTTACGGAGTCGGCTTCCGTCCATACGTATCCAAGGAATCCAGCATGCGAATCCGCAACTTTTTGAATACGCTCTCCATAGTGGACATTTTTTTTTATCCAGTGACGTCACAAGATTCAGCCCAGTTCTTTACCGCGAATATTGAAGACGGTGCCGAGCGCAATGTTATCGCTTTTTTACGGCTTGGACTTCAGTTTCAAGTTTTATAACGTGTGTGCAGTTAAACCTAGCTATGACTACTGTGCACCTCAATTATGCCAAACGGCGGCTCGACATTTTAAAGCTTTCATCCATGTCGGACCGACGAATTGGACGCCGAAAACAAGTTAAAGGAGTGACTGACTAGTGCTTAGTGGAACAATTTTGTCAGTGAAACAGTTACTGAAGAAGATTGGCGATAAAAATTTTCGCACGAGCCGGAGAACGCTTTACAAATTAAATGACGAACTGACAGTGAATCCGGACACGTGTGGACAGGCAAATTCGATTTGAATACGGATACGTGTGGACGTGGAAATTTTTTAATCCGGAAAGAAAAATTGGGGGATTCAAAAATACCACGATGCGTGTGGACGGGACCTAAATGGATATAAGACCACAAACTTGAATAGGCATTTGCTTGTAGTTTATTCCGCAGAAGCAAATCCCGTTTTCTCAGTTTTCTTCGGCAGACATGCAGACATGACAATCTGGCCCTGAAACCTTAAGGGTGCATGGTGTCTATGGGCTTATCATTTGTTCTCTTGAAAACAGACATGTTGCCGTTATTCTTGAAGTGTTTGATAGTCTAGCAGGGAACAAGGGGAGAAAAAAACAAAGCAAGAATGCTGGGTGACCATTCAATGCAAAGCTCAATTCTTCTTTCGTTTCCACAAATTTTTCAAAATTAAATCTGCTTTGTGTTTCATGTGGCAACCTGGGCCACCACATTGGTTCATTCATGGTCGAGAGTACTACAGGGCGCTTCAAATGAAGCTTTTACGCAGGAAAAGATACGTTACCATCGATGGCGTCATAAGCTCATTGATAATAAAGTACTGATAATGTAGCGGAATCTCATAAATTCTCACGTTCTTTTATGTTTAGGTGGCCAACGGTCATATAACAGGTCTGTCAAGTTTTACGTGAAGATCCAAGATGTCACGGTGTATTTTGATTGGTTGACAGAAATGAAAAAAGCATTCATTGGATGACTTGTTGACTAGTTTTGATGAAGCAATTTGTTCCCTTCATCACAGAAATAAATCGTTGAACCGAAACACAGCGTAAAATTCCTTCCCCAGAAAAAGGTCAATTTTATGCGCACATTACTACTGTTGAGGCTCATTCACACGGCCAGCGCCGGACGACTTTTCGACCGGCTGAAAAATTTGACCGGACGCTTCGTTCACATGGGACTGTTCAATATTTTCGCCCTGTTCACACGTTGAACTTTAAACGGCTGGACCCCTAAATTTTGGAACGGTTAAGGTGGTTTCGTGTGAACGAAACTCCTAAAACCGGTTGAAAATTCGTCCGGGCCGTGTAAACGCAGCCTGAGACAACGTACCGTCCGACACCGATCTCAGGGAGGAGTTTCTGCACAGCTTGAAGCCTGCGGTGAAAACGATCCAGTGCTCGTACTAACAGAATATTATCACCTGTATCAGACTAAGAGAAAAAGATTTATTTAATACAATCACATTACAATCTGGAAAAGTTCACGGCAGTTCTGAGTTCGTAAAGTTCTTTTATTCAATTATTTTACTTTTTTGAGTAAGAACTATTTTCCAATTTTGATGTGTTATTTGCTTTGTTTAATAGACTTGTTGTGGAATGTTATGAGGCACAGCAAAATTATCGGCAAAAAACAGAGAAGAAGTGTCAGAAATGGACAACGCCTCGGGCATGAAACACGGGTCTCAGGTGTAAAAGGTGTTCAGTTGCTTTAAGAAAAAATCTTTAGAAGTGTATAGTATACTTTTTAATGGAAGGACGAGTCAGTTACTCGCACAATGTTATTTTACATCAAATTTTAATCACTCCTTTTGCGAAAGTGAGATCCATTCACCCCAAACAAAATGTATTCCTTGATTAACTAGTTTACCATTCTTGTGGGATTCATTATGTACACTTAAAAAAGGGTAAAAAAATTAGAGGGAAAAGCTAAACATGTAATTAAACTAAAACACAAGACACAAACGTATATGTCACCCGTTGACGATAATCATTAAGTCTCGTAACGCCAGTAGGCCCATAAAGCCATAAGATGACCATAGAACATTAAGCTTGAATCATGTACAGATTAAAAATTCAGTTGCCTCAATAGCAAATGTGTAAACCCTAAGAAACCACATACCTCCTGTTCAATTCTTGATTCCGTAAGTTTAAAGTATTCTCTCATCAAAGACAAAATAAAATTTGTCAACTTCTCAGTGACTATCTTTTCCAGTTCTTGCTGGTCTTGACCATGCCTAAGTAATGGAAAAGGGATGAACAAAGGTTTAAACTTGTCACAAGCAACGTAAACTTTTTCCTCTGCCATTTTGTTAAGTGAGCTCACCAAGTGTAAGGCTTCATTATAATTCCTACAGTGCTTACTTTTGAAGTACATGTACGTGTTGAAGCTGCTGCCCTTTCACCAGTAAAAAAATAATAAGAGGTATAATAGTCTTGAATGGCCTTATGTTGATGATGATGATGATACTCTTGAAATCGGTACAAAAATATTCAAAATTTAAGTGCTAGGAAAGAATTAACTGAAATCTCAGACATCACAGGCTTGATTAATACATTCATTCAGTTCTGCATTTTAGGTTCAGTTCAGTTCAGTTCATTTTTATTAAGCCAAAATATAATACCATACAGGAATACCTATATGAATTGCAAGTTGGCAAGGGAGCTCAGAAGAAAACAGAAGGCTTATGAAGCTGGGCTGCCCAGTCACAAAGAAATAAGTAAAACGAAATTTGCAGAGTGGTACGTTAAAAATAGGAACTAAACAGAGACTGAGTTAAGTTCTGTGTTTGAAGCGTAGTATAGCTACTAAACAGCATAAAGGATGAAAAACTCTTTGAACAAATTATAAATATTTATGATTCTTACTCTGCCATCTGTCTCTGAATAAACTGCTCTTTGTACGAGGCAATCACTAAGCAGATTGTGCTGAGGAAGCCATTACAGCCACAGTCAATGAATTCTAACAAGTCCTGAAATACAATATTAACTAATAATTCATCAACAGTTTATTAATAATATTATTAAATGACTAAATTATAGAGACAACTTGTTTAAGGCCTTGCAATGTTTTGATTAATTTAAGATTATGCTGCCAACTCTTAAATGACTTTAGCTCTCAGGAAAAGGAAATAAATAGGTTTTAAAAATTCTGGGATGTAATTAACCCATTCGCCCCGTAACCGCCCGTGCGGATCCAGGTCCTTTCTACCCATTGTGACGTCATCAGTTTTAATGGTCAAGGACAACTTTCTTCTCTAACTTGTGCAGAGTGAAGAGATCTTTCAAACCATACCAGAATGAGCACAATTCAGTCAAGGACACCGGAGAAACAAGCAAAAAACCACGTGACATTGACCTGAAAATCTCCATGAAAATCTTGTTCCATTACCCACCTACCCTTCCTTTCACCTAATCCTAAGATCCTAAAAGCTTTCCTAAAAACTCTTCACACCAAAATGAAGCCTACTAAATGCCCAGCAAGAGAAAAAAAAATGAGGCAAGAAAAGCGAAAAAAGAAGGGAGGAGAGAAAGCGAAAAATAAAAGTCAAGACTGCTGTGTCACTTTTAAACCCAAAAACTATCTCAAAATTTTGCTTTCTGCGCATGCCCGAACTTCTCAAGCTGATATTTTGCATCTGGATCAGAAGGCCGCGAAGTGTTCGACCTGTAAACCAGTTTGTGGTAAGTTTTAGCTCTTTATAGCACGACAGTGGCCAGAAAACCACTCGACTAGCTTCAAAACGCGTTTTTCGGCAAAATCTCCAGGAGCGAATGGGTTAAACGGCCAATTATTAAAAAGAAGTTTCACCAGTGTTCAAAAAACCCATTCTAAGCCATTTACAGTTTGTCCAATATTTTTTCTAGACAGTATGAAAGACACCATGAAACGTTTTCCCCACAGCACATACATATACGTAAGATGTAGACTAGAAAAAGCATGACTGTGGTTTCTAGGATTAACTCACTTAGAGAATGATTTGAAACTATGAGTTAGCTGACCCACAGAGAGGCCCTGCCGGGGTAAATTCCGACAAGCGACATGACCCAAAAAGTAGCAACAGAACGTATTGAATGAAATCACGATAAGAGACAACCTCCCTCAGCCAAATTGTGAAAGCAAAGCCGAGAATAAGCGACAATGAACGGTGGTTTGGCCAATAATTTATCACCAGTCTGAATGCCAAGAAGAAGAAATTTTCATCAATTTTTTTTGTGGGCCTGAAAGTGCACAACATTCAAAAGCATTCCTTTCATTGTGATTGTATTGACCAATAAAAACATTGCTTTAATTTATTCCGTAACAATTTGCCAACAGAAGACAAAACATTGTGCACTTTTTTTATCATTGATGTTTGCCGCTTTTCATAACCATTCTCCTCTAATAACTATGCAACCACCAAATTCATAACAGCTGTAGGATCAATGGGCACTCTGTACTCTTACCATTGGTCTTTGTGCTTTGTTCTCCTCATCTGCCTTCTTATCCTCTCTCCCTGTTAAAGAGAAAGTCTGTTAATGCTTCACACTATTAAGGCCACTTTACTCTGTACATTTACTTGCCAAGAATTGTTTCCTCTCAATGGTATGATTTTGTCCAGTTAGCTAACAGTCGAACTGCTTTTTACCAGGCTGTCTCTAGAAACAACACAGGCCTTAAAAATATAATATGTTTTTTTTTTTGTCTCAAGATCACTTGTCCAATTATCCAGAATAAAGTTTGTCTTCAATACTGTACAATGAACAGATTTCTTTAACAAAACAACTAATCCATGTAAATCCTAGTCATACTTAATTACTTACCTTCTTCACTGACTGATACATCTTCTGACAGCTTCAAGTCCACCTGTGCTTTGAGAATCTTTAAACTTTCATCCAATCTCTCTTGAGCACTACATGTACAACAATAAAGACAATTGAAAGAACCCAACGCTAGGTTCAAAAAAGCATCTTCCAAATCCCTGGGACAAATAGTTCTCCCAGCTGGACAACTAACTCTTCAAGGACTCAGGTAAGCCATCTTCTAGCTAAATCATAAGCTAAGGAAGCAATGGACCTAGGCAAGCAAAATCTGAGAGCTGCTTGTCCACAGGGCGCACTGAAATTCAAGTTTTTTTCAAGTTCCATAATGTTATCTTCAGTGTAAACAAAAAGGGTTGTCTGAATTGTGGGTCACAAAACACACAGTCAAATGCCTCTGGTAAAGAAGATTATATTCCATGAATAACTGTTTTTGTAGTAGGCACATTCATGGTGTTTACATCTGATCTATCTGATCTCTGTAACCTTTTTTCTTTTGTTTGTCATTCCAAACAACAGCAAAAAGAATGGAATTACTATGCCAACCAGTCAGCACTCATTGATCAGATTCCAGACATATCTACCTAATCAGTATGGGATTTTTGGGGTCAAATTTCAGATGTCTCTTCTGTAAAATGTCCCTAGAGGTAAGGAACAATAAATTAAAAAAGATTATCAATCCTACTGTGCAAGGAATTCATCACACAACTCATCTGCAGGCTCCTTCAGCTGAAGCAGTAGATCAACGCACTCCGCCAATTGTTTGGGGGTGGACTGTAATTAAAGAAAAAAAAGGCATGTAAAAAAAGTCAATACCATAAGGAGTCTGATAAAGTCACAGCCCTGCAGTGTAAAGAATACACTTGTTGACGTGAAGCTATCAGAATAAAAAAGAATGAAGCTCAATGTGTGTAATGCAAATAATAGTAAAGGAAGAATCAATAAGCTGGTTAAAATAACCTTTGGATTTCTAAGCTGTTCTCGTAGTTGAACTATCAGTTGTTTGACAGTCTCATCACAGTCTTGATGAATGCCATGAAATGATGGCATATGGCTGTAATGATGTAGGACGTCCCTTGCTTTTGTATAATACCTGTAAATAAAACAGTAACATTACAAAATTAATTTTCTTAAGGAGTCAGAGAAAGTATGCATAACAACATCACCATGCCTCACTCATTCTTTAAAAAATTCCACTTTTTTCATGTCAATGGTGATCTAAAACGATGTCATGTTTGTTAAAATATACATGTAACCTATGCAATTTAATATCAACAAAAATATTTTAGTGATCTACACGTATCCTTAAAAAATTTGAAACATAACAAATCTTACACAATTTGCTAAAATACAACAATGTAACTGGCTACCTTACTGCCAATCCATATTGTTTCATTTCAACACACTTATGCAATCTTGATGGAAGCTCAAAAAGGAATTGAAGCTGTTGAGAAAGGACAGAGAGAAAGAATCTTTTTACACAAAGTCACCCTGGTCACCATAGTTATTTTAAGTAAACCATGTCACCCTAGTCACCCAAGTCACCCTATAGTTATCCTAGTAACCCAAGTCAGCCTAGTCACCCAAGTCAAGGTGACTTGGGTGACTAAGACGACTACAACCCTGGTAAAAATATCTTGGAACACTTGAGGAAAGATTGTGTTGAAAACAGACTTGAATGCATAATGTTAACACTGCTCCGGGGGGAGAGGGCAGCAAAAATGCATCATTTTTTGACGAGCTATTGTGTTAGTGTCTCCAGAGTCTTGACCAGGGTTGTAGTCATCCCAGTCATCTTAGTGAAGCCAGTCACCCTAGTCATCCCTGTCAACCGAGTCATCATAGTTATTGTAGCCATCCCAGTCACCCTAGTCATCCAAGCTATCCTAGTCATCCCGGTCACCTCAGTCATCCAAGTCACTCAAGTCATACCAGTCACCCAAGTCATCCCAGTCAACCTATTGTAGTCAACTTAGTCATTGTAGTCATTCCAGTCACCCTACTGACCCTAGTCATCCCAGTCACCGCAGCTATCCTAGTCATCCCAGTTATCCTAGTCAATCTCAGTCATCCCGTTCATCCCAGTCAATGTTATAAAGTCATCCTGGTCACCCTGGTTATCCTCGTCATGCCAGTTATTGTTTTCCCAATACTCTGTTACTCTGTTCAGTAACACCTGCCACAAAATACCTTTTTCAGTAATGCATGAACACCTGACAATTTGGTTATCTGCTGTCTCTTTCCTTGTAGTGTGCCTGTTATTTTCTCACTGAACTCGGTGATGGTTGACATGTTTTCACGTAGCTTATCCATCTCCTCCTCCATTTTCTTGAAATCATGCTTCATCTTTTAGATAAAATATACACATGCACCACATTGAAAACTGAGCACTTTACTCTCTGAATCATGACATGAGATTGTGTACAGTTGACGCTCTTAAAAGACAACTCTATAAGACGGACACCTATTTATCTCAGTCTTCCAGGTCACCCAAGTCACACCAGTAACCCCAGTCACCCCAGTTATGCTAGTCATTCCAGTTATCCTAGTCATGCTGTGTGCCATGTGGCCCTTGTGGTTTCTGGTCGCTGCTTTATTTACTCCCTTTACTTGACATCACTTTTAGACAAGCACTAAGCGCAAGTCTCAAAGGTGTCCCCTTAGAGATAGTTGACTGAATTAATAACTTTTCCATCTGTATAACAACAAATTCCCTTGATGTACTTTAGCCATTGTAGGTAAAATTCAGTCTTAGACAAGGATAAACTAATTTTCAACCTATGCTAACAGCATCACATCCGTAGCAAAAAGCTAACACTAGTAACCTAATACTGGTTTAACCTGAGAATGGAGTCTACCTACAATATTATAATCATTTATACAGGGTTCATACAAATATTGCAACCATTTTTCAAGGACTTTTCAAGGACTTTTCAAGGACCACATTAGATTTTCAAGGACAACCTACTAGGAATATAACTTCACAGATTGTACAAAAATGCATATTCCCAGTATATTCTAATAAGACTTTAAGGCTTTAACTGTTTGCTTCACCAAATTCTCCACATTTTCCAGTTCACTTGTCTTAAACTGATAGTTAATTATTGCATAAAACATGGAGCACTTTATGTAAATGACCTTTACATTCACTGAGATACGATTTATATTCTGTCTTGGACAACCAAAATGCATCAAAAAATTCTTTCCAGGCTACTACATTCAAAGTTGAAGAAAATTCAAGCTCTTTTCAAGGACTTGCACAGAAATTTAAGGACTTTTCAAGGAAAAATGGAATTCAAGGACTTTTCAAGGACTTCCCCTAAAATTCAAGGACTTTTCAAGACTGTGCGAACCCTGTTATAATAAATTGGCCCCCCCAGGGGCCCCACTCACATATTTTAATGGCGGGGGGGGGGGGTTGGTGGGGTCCGACAGAGGTTCATATTTTATATCCAAAAATATCCCAACTTCAGAATTTGTCTACCCAAAAAAATCCCTACTTTTTTTAGCACACCCAAAAAAATCCCTCAGTGTTTTTACATCAGCAAATTTTATTATTTATCTTCTGGAAAGCTAAAACATGCTGTGACCTATTGAATATTTCTCTCTGGATTAGATGCGCGTGGAGTGCTGGTAATTACTTCTCACATAGATTACAATCTCAGAAATATCCCGTAATACCACACAAGCAGTAAATTGCGCTTATGTTATTGTTGATTTGAGCTGATGAAAAATACAATACCCAAAAAAATCCCTGTGTTGTTTTTGCGACCCAAAAAAATCCCGGCATCTTTCATAGACCCCAAAAAATCCCTTTTGGCCAAAATGTCAGACCCAAAAAAATCCTTCGGACCCCCCGTCATTTAAATATGTGAGTGGGGCCTCTGGGAGGCCCCCTTTGCAGGGCTGTCACTAAGGGCAAACTTTTCCCCACCTACTATGAGCATGATCCTTGGATAATTTCATGAGCAATAAAAGGAAAGGAGACCTAAAAAAAGACTTCCTAGGCATTCAATACTAAGCCTACTAATTGCATAATTATAACTGGAAACAAGAGATTCTTTCGTAAAGCATTAACTTTGATCTTGAACAGTGACTTTCCCTTGTTTTTCTATTATTGCATAAATATAATGTACAGTGAAAAATCTTTAGAACACCCCCACAAGGACAGAGCCGGGTTTCCAAATTTAGAGGTGTTTGTATTATGGAGACAGCGATTATAGGAAGTTTGGCATCTTTGGAACTTGAAGAACTGTATATAATAGAGGACAGGGTATCCTCAAGGAGAGATTCAACCATATGTCTCTTCTGTCTGGGTGACTTGGTATAATCGCAAAAAGTTAAAGGATGCGAAGTCTATTTTTCAACGATGTTTACATGGACATCGCCGTTGTTGGATCGTAAGGTCCCTAATGTGTGTTATTTGGCAGGTATACAATATGTACTTACAGCCTCTTACTTGCTGTAGTCAAGTATACAGTTAACTCTCTCTAAGATGGACTCCTTTAGGACTGGCCTTACGTTTCCACCTCAGAGAGAGGAAAGTCTTACAGGGAGTCAAACAAAGGGAGTAAAGAAAGGCAGGGACCAACATTAGGTGTCCGTTTCATAGAGGTGTCCATCTAATAGGGGTGTCCGTAAAGAGAGAGTCAACTGTATTACTAATGCATTGTTCACCTTCCTGATAGTATCCGTAGCACTAATAAACTTGTTATAGTTTTCATAGACCAGAGTCTGCATTTCACTGTCTAAAGATCTGATTTCTGCAAACAAAGTTCAAAAATATACTCATTTTTAATGAAACTGACAATGGGAATGTGTGTGCATGAGTGTGATGACTATTATCTCCCATAAAAGCTGCATGTTGCAGATTTAACTTGGCAGGCGACTGTTAGAAACACTCCAAAGAGATCACTTCTCACCTGGTGCACTGGCAACTCATGCAAAGAGACAAGGCCATTGGGAAGGGAAAGAAAAGCCAAGCCCTCAACATCAAATTTTGACTTTTCTTTTTAAATGTAGCTAACTATCATTTAGTTAAAGTTCAACTAGAGTTAGTCCAGCAAGTGGTCCTCCGCATCTGCAGTACAGTTGTACAGGTGTACTGTATGTGACCCGCAAGATAGCCGTGAGGGGTTTTTGTAGGGTTTCAAGGTTCATCGCATCAGACATGCAGTGTTATCAGCTGATCTTTGAAGGTCAAAGTCATCCAAATGTATAACAACACAGCACCAGGCATACATGCAAATAACACAATGGATTTGCTGACTTACGTTTGGCAATATCGGCCTCTTTGTCCAACAAATCATTCAATGATTTTTCTTTAAAAAGCTTTTCTAAATATTCGTCTGGCTTGAAGTGGGCTCCATTGATGTCACAGTAATCAATGGCAGTTGATTTACCAGCCTCTTCACCAACTCCATAATACATCTTTAGCATCCCACGGCGCTGACGATGCCGCACCCGTGCCATCTCTCCCTCTTCCTCTGTTGGGAAAAAAATCAATCAAATATCAATATTAATATTGTTTGCTTATTGATCATCACCAGTCCTCTACATTCCCAGTGGAAAATAGCTTCTGCACTTATGAACACCATCTGACTCTATTGATAATTTTGTTTTATGGGTTTCTGGCAGAGGTAGGGTACCCTGCGAGCAGAGGCCACATTTTCGCTGTGTGAGCTGGAGTGCGAAAAGTAGCCTCTGCCGACAACTGTTCAAATCCATCAAAAAATCTGGACGAATGAATTAAAAAAAAAACAGTTTTTTCCTGTTCTTGACCAGTTTAGAACATTACGTGAGTCTTGCGTGGCAGATCAGAGTTGTCGCAATTTTTATATTCTCCTGAAACTCGCGCCCTGTGATGACAAACCTGACAATTAAATTTGCTGGCAAATTTAATTTGCTAATCCCGTGAAGAATTTCACGCATGCACCATAGAAAATTGAACAGTTGTCGGTAGAGGCTACTTTTTGCACGCCACCTCACATAGCGAAAACATAGCCTACACTCGCAGGATAGAGGTGGGGCTGTATTATTAGCCAACTACACTAACTTTGAAAATGAGTTAAAAAACACAAATATAGGAGGATTTTTGGGTAAATGACCCGCCCCTTTTCCTGAGAGACCAGCTACTTAACCCTCAATGACAGCCCTGAGGGGGATTAAGCGCGTCCTTTTTTATACAGTACCTAGTCTTGTAAAACTTCAATAGCGAGAGTGAAATAAAAACTCCCCAAAACTGCAGCAAAAATAAGACAAAACATCATCACTGCAAACATTGCCCCTTTTCTGGTCAGAACTTTGTTTCCTTTGAGGTTTGTTGTGACACGATGAACATTTCATCTCTCCCTTCTCTTTTACGGATAAGTTGTCATCATTTTTCTTTCTTTCAACTAATTCAGCAGGTTAATTAATACGCCGGTACCAGCGATATTGGAATAACACTTTAAGACGATAAAAGGATAGACTTAAAAACTGAGTTCGATCTTCGGGCTGGTCGTTAGGAGCAAATAACAAAGATGGTCGTGGAAGAGCGTGGTAACATTCATGTAAGGAAGAGATTTTGAACACTGTTTCGGTTCGAAATTGATCAGCTGAATGGAATTACAGGCGCTCGGGAATTACGACTACGTTCGCTAACAAAACGAGAAACGCTCATAGTTAAGCTTAACAACAAGAACGTCAAGGTGAACGCTAAATTGTTACTATTTTTATCGAAAACTTACCCTCAACTCCATCCATCTTGAATTTTGAGGTCTTTGGTCTTCAACATGCCATGTAGGCCTACACAAAACGTCCCGAGAAGAGAAAGAGCCCCGCACGGAGAACTGGAAACGAAAACAAAAATATTGGAATTTGAGCATGCGTAGACGCCGAATCTCCGCCATCTTTGTTAGGGAAGGTCCACTTACACAGAAAAAATGTAGTGAATTTTTTTCCCTCTTGGTGGTCAGAAAGCTGTCCTTTTTATCTCATTCCATCAGATAGTGATTTGAAATTAACTAAGAGCAAAATGTCTGGGCCAAACGCTAAAATCGGCATGAAAGTAGAGGTTGTAGGCAAAGGTCTTGTGGGTACAGTAGCCTATGTTGGGGCGACGATGTTCGCTTCTGGCAAATGGATTGGCGTCATTCTGGATGAACCGAAAGGCAAAAACGACGGTACAGGTACGTTTATAACAGGCCATAAAAAAAATTGTTAGAGAATGTTTCTTTAGGATCCTTTAGGCACAGCTGAACCCGGGGAGGGAGGTGGGTGGCTCCCATATAAAATTGACGGGGATGCTCGTCGGAAAATTAAAATTAAACCCCTAAGCTAATTTTGGTGTGGTTCTAGCTTAAACTGACCCCTAAATGAGACCATACTAATACAGACATTGTGGGATTATTTGCAACTTTCTTTATGCACATCCCTAAGCAATACCTGAATGGCCAAATATAGTGACTCTCCATCTTACACACCCTAAGTGAGACCAAAATCTGCAATGTACACCTCTAAGGAAGACGACGAGCATCCCCATCACTTTTACGTGGGAGTTACCCCCCCCCCCAACCCCCCGGGAGGTGAACCTCTATGAAAATTTGCGTTGTATGGTGGTACAGTTACTGAAGCATCGATAGTCATCATTTCTCAAAGGATTTCTTTCGAGCTGATTAACACCGTGATCTATTTTTAAAAAAATGTAATTATATAAATCTATTGTTCGATTAAGTCAAATCTAAACAAGCTAATCCCATAAGGACATTCCATTTTTTATCTGCACCCCTCTAACGATGGCGGGTTTTTTAATATGGGGGTTTCGATTTTTCTTCAAAGGGGGTGTTTACATGACATCGGGGCAACTTTCACTCCTGAGTGAGTTCACCCCGGTTCCCTCTCATGGCTCTACATTTGTTTACATGATACCACCACAAAATGTCATGCCGGCGCGAGTCCCCCCGGCGTGAGTTCACCCCGGTTGTTATACCGGGGCGAGAATTTCACTCCGGTATGAAATCCCGTAACAGTATCATGTAAACGTGAAATGACCACAAGTTTTGGTGTGAAATCAGTCTGCTGGTAGACTGGAACATGTAACGCATGCATAATGTTTGTGATTTTGAATCTTACGTGTATTTTATCAACACGGAGTGTACCTTCTAATAACGAGACATGAAATGACCCAGTCATAACGTAAACACGATACGAAATAAAAAAGTCATCTCGCAATGAAAGTCATGCCAGTGCGAGTTTTCTAATGTAAAACCCCCCAAAGAAGCCAACAACATTTGGACCCCTCGTACAAATTTTTTAAAAGGTGCCAACAAAAATTTGACAGTTTGGATTGCAGTTATCTTTAAAGGGGTGAAGATGAAAAATGGAACATTTTTATTCATCCATTGCCCATGGCTGGGACATTGTTTGTCTATAAATGATTTGGCCATGGTACCATAAATTTTGCCAAACAACCACAGAAAAACATGACTAACAGTACAGTGCAATGCTTGTTATTGAATCTGTGTAGTTCAAGGAAAAGAATACTTCAAGTGTGCTGAAAACCATGGAATATTTGTGCGACAATCCCAGATCACAGTGCTTGAGGATGTGCCTGCCTCACCCACCCCACAGCGTGGCTCAGCTCCACGTTCCAGCATTGGAGGAGGTTCCTCTATTCCACTGCCGTCTTCAATGAAAAAGGAGAGGGTAAGTTTTAGCTTTATGTCTAGCTACAAACAGTTAAAGATTTAATTCTAGCCAAAAGGAACCAAAAAGTCTTTTTTGGAAACTGTCAATCATCCTAGAGGGGGAATTTTTAGTTACCTCTTTTTGAACTTACACTGTAGAAGCTAAGTGATTGCAGAGGTAGTCTAGTGGAGAGAAGTGTTATTTTTTAGTTCTGAGGATATGGGTTCGAAACTCCTGAGTGGCAATAGTTTTCTCTTTACCCAAGACCACAGCTTAGAAGTTCATCTTCCTGGTTTCAGTTTTCTTTAGTATGATTAGGGCAAAATATAAAATGCAATTTTGGCTAATGTGGGGAAATGAAATAAAAATACATGGCATGTACACAACAACATACATAAGCTTTATTTAATCATGGTATTAATTAATGAGCAAAGGTTTAGTTATACAGAAAGAAGTAAAAAATAACAGATAAAAATGAATGACGTTTCGGTGTCATCTTGACACCATTTTCAAGTTCAAAGTGATCGCTGATAAACTGACAAAAAAATTTTCGGATGATGATTAGCATATATGAAATGTGCACAGTCACGCAAAAAGTTTTGCTTGAATTGGGTCCGATTGGATGTTTAGAGAAGGTGTTAGTCAACAATCAAACTTGTTATTGCCAATAACAAGTGCAATTTATTGTTTAGTGCTCAATTAAGAGACAGGGCTGTCACTTAGATTTCAAGTTGCCGGGTAAATAGAACAAGTAGGCGGGGAACCAAACAGTTAGGGATTTCTTTTGGTTCTATTTTTTCTTCTATTTTCCTATGAAAGTAGCCGGAGGCCACGTTCTTAGTAGCCGGGGGAAATCCCCGGCCCCCGCCTCATAATGACAACCCTGAGAGAACGTGATTATTATTTATTTCTATTTAATTTTCATATTCAATTTGTTGCAGTCATTTGGATCAAGAGGTTCCTTGGACAATACAGGCAGTAAGGCTTCTCCTCCATCATCAAAGATAGCTACACCAAAAACAAGTGTTTCCTCTGCTCCAGAGCCTGCTGTGCGTGACAGTCCACCTAGCGTGTCTCCTGCTACAAGTGTCCCTCCCATCTCTTCAGGTCAGAGGAAGTCATCAGGACCAACAGTATCTGTTGATGAGCATATGGCACTTCAGAAAAAGGTTTTACAAAGATACCCTGCTTCTGTGTATGCATAACAACCCTCCAAGTTGTGACCATTCTGTTTGCCATGGTGCCTAAAATTTTGCAGCTGGCGACTTGATTTGTAAAAAAGTCTCCCTAAACCAAAAGAGTTGGTTGCCAAATGGCGACCGAGCAAAAACGTTTACTTGGAGGGTTGCTTCAAGTTACCGTTAATTAACCGTAGCGGTAAATACAGTTTACATTAAAGAAATCAACAACAATTTTCCTTGATCTATACTCTTCCAAACATGGCAGTGAAACCACTCGCCTGCAGCTCCTGGTTACATTTGAGTTTTGAGCATTTGACATTGATTCGAGAACAGTCCATGGAAAATTGTTGTTGAGTTGTTTTTTTACAATAACATTGACAGTTTTTGAGAAGTTTCTTGGAAAATCATGCATGCAAGAAAGAGAAAAGCAAATAAGAAATTGCACCACCATCATGTCATTTCCATAGCCTGTACTCTTATCGAACATAGCTCTCGAACAATCAGTGAATGAGAAATCACTCAGTTGTGGTAAAAATAAGAGAAGACCACCTCTTGCCCCAGAGAAACGGCTAGGCCACTGGGTAAAATTGCATATTATGTTGCCGTTACAACATCTGGAAATCATGGTTGCCTTCTATAAAACTCCATGACAAACATTACCTTGGCAGTACTAGCTCAGTCAGTAGAGCACTTGACTGCTCAGCTGGAGGTCATAGGCTCAATTTCCGGGATCAGACCAATACTCAGGGTCTTAAATAAAAGGTACCACTTCTGTCCTGTAAATGGCTAGAACTTTGCGTGGCTCAGATGACCACATAAAATGGCAGTCTCATCTCCATTGGGAGACATAAAAGTAGTGTCCTTAATTAGCACTTTTATGCTATGTCGATACTCGAATTAAGCACGTTTTTTAATGCATGTTTGTCAATATGTAATCATGTACAGGTAACACAAAATATCTTACTTAAGGTCTCTATTGTTTTGGACTGGTTGTTCTGAGACAATCCAGTTAAAATATAACTAAAGATTAACATCATTTAAAGACAGGCTCGTTTTAATAAAAATTTGTGTTTAATTCATTACAATAACATGTACTTATATGGTTATAGGTGACTGAAAAGGAGAAAGCCATTGTTGACCTGGAAGAAAAGCTGGAGACATTAAAAAGCAAGCGACAGGAAGATAAAGCTAAAATGAAAGAGCTAGAAAAAACAAGAATGCAGCTTGAACAGGTTAGTTGCATGTACATTGGGTACGTAGGTGTTAACAATATGTCTTTTCATGAAGCCTTCTAAGAAAAAATCTCTCTTATGAAAATATCAGAGGCACTTGTCTTTGATTACCCTTGATTCTCACAACCTTTCTGACTGCTTAATCATCAGCCTTATAAGGAGAAAATTGTGGATTGCTTTTCACAACTTTCAAAGGCAAAACTGTCTTTTATTTAAGATGAAATTTTTTGCGCGTAAAAAGAAGTCTTTAAACTTGCAGAAGGAAGATATAACAATAAAAATTTAGTAAAAAAATTAGTTAAACACGACAACCATCAAATTATGTTTTTTACAGGTCAAAACAAAATTCAGATTAAAACTTTTTAACCTAGATTGATTATCTATTTCCTTTTGTCTCCTGGCCCTTATTATTAATGAATTAGTGCTGGGATACAAAGGAAATTGGGAAACAACCGATAATTAGGGCTACGAGATAAAGGAAACTGAGAATCAACTTAAGTTTAAAAATTTTAACCAGAATTTACTTTTGACTTGTAATATAATTTACGTAGCAGCCAAATTTGAAATTTTTAAAACTGTTGCTAGGCAACTGCCAACATTCAGCCAATTATGTATTCTGAAATAATAAATAAACATTGTTGCTTCGAGTGTGCCTGTTATTGAAATAAGTTGTTGCATACAATGTAGCAATCACTGGTGCACAATCTCAATATTTTGAGGGATTGTATTTTTAAATTAATATACTTCTATGTTTCAGCTTTTTAGCAGAGAAACGTTTATGTGTAAGTTTTAGTGTTAAGGTGTTTACCTTGATGGAATTAAATGTCACTGTCAGCTGTTCTTTTGCAAACAGAACATGTCCTTATTCTGTTTTCATGTTTACATGGGCAAGTTGTACAGACACCTGATTTTTATCATATGGTTTGAATGAAAAATACTGGTTTTATCTGATACAGCTCCTGTACTTATATTTTTTAAAACCTAGTTTGTGGATTATTAATTTTATTATTACTGCAGCTTTGTTTTTATGAGAGAAATTTTCCCATTATGTTATATTTTGAGCATTCAACCATGGAGGGTCATATAAAGTGGTTTGGTAATTTATCACTGTAGATGCAAGAGTATAAAACCCGATGGCAAGAGGCACAACGAGATTTACAAGCACAGTTGAATACCACCAAAAAGGTAAAGTTCTTGCACCAATCCATAGTGACTTGCTTGCATTAACAAATTTTGATTATCCTACAGGTGTAGGGGTAAAAATATATTAAATTATTTGGAGAATAATAATTCAAGTGTGTGTGAATAAGAAACCCCTCTTTGAAGGTGTTTTTGGAGCAGTTGAACTAATTTGATTGTGCAGCAGTTAGTGTAGACATAGAATTTAACTCCTGCTGCACTGTTTGTGTTTGAAAACAGAGCTTATTTGCACATATTCAAATATCTTTTTTCCAAAATGTAGATATATAATAACGTTTTAGTTTCTTACCACTGCCTGTTAGAATAGATAGGGCTGGCTTGTATTTATTCCAAACAGAACAACCTAATTGGTAAATGGTTGCTAAATTTTATGAAGTGCTACATATATGCTGATAATTATATTTTCTTTGACACATTTTACTAGATGTCTATGGTTTATGTACATGTGTTATGGTTCAACATAACCCATGGTTTAAATTTTCCTTTGTTTCAAAATTGTTATCATGCATTACCATACCCAAAACAAAAGAAAATAATAATTATTAAAACAAGGTTAAAATTGAACCACAACGCAAACATATATTCGCATTTTTTCAGCAATGCTTCTAGTAGACATAGACTACAATGGAAAAAGAAATGCAGATTCACTCTTATTGTCACTTTCACTTTAACGGTATAATTTATACAGTCACACAGTGCATCTGCAGCATTAAAAACTGCAGTCTTGTCACCTTTCAGAGCATTATGCTGCTATCTAAAAAGAAAAAGATTATTTGACAGCGCTCACAAGGACAAAACCCGGGAAGGCAGGAGCCCAGACTGTTTAGTGTTAGACATTACAGCATGAAGTTGGGAGGAAATGTTCTTGCTTGGTTTATTGACTGACTTATTTTTCTGGTCGTAAAGGGGTTCAAAGACCTTTCCCACATTCCTGTAGACAAAGGTCTGCACCAACTCACACAGGAAAAAATAATGGATTCCCATTTCTGGATATTTTAGGGTATTTAAAGAATACCCATAAAAATCCCAAATTTGGCAAAGTGAGACAAGTCCCAACCAGGGAATTCCCAACCAAGTTCCCTGATTGGGACTTGTCTCACTCTTCCAAATTTGGGATTTTTGTGGGTATTCTTTAAATACCATAAAATATCCAAAAATGGGAATCCGTTATTTTTTTCCTGTGTCAAGGCGTAGATTGACAAACTACATTGAATAACAGTACTTTAATTTTAACAGGAACTCAAAGAGTTGAGTGAAAATCGTCAAGAGCACAGTGAAGAGTTGACAGAATTGCAAGAAGCTGTTGAAATGGCAACACTGGACAAGGAAATGGCTGAAGAAAGGGTAATAATTAATGATTTACTCATAAGAGCTAAAGGAAGGTGGTGTTACTGATTGTTAGCACATGTTTAAGTGATCTCTTATTAATGGCTGTATTGTTTCTCAGCAGTCACAAGTTCAACTCTTCACTGGCGTTTGTAATCGCTAACTGGTTTACCTCCTATGAGTGGAGTTTTTATATGTAGAGTGCCTCTTAATTAGCTGTAGAGCAGCCAAGTACACTTCCACTACAAACAAGCATTTACATTTTCCCAACATTTTGTGGGATTTTATTTTTTTTCTCCTCACAAAATTTTATCACCAGTACCTAGAAATATTTCTTGGCCATGTTGTATTCCCTGATGGTGGTGTTTTTACATTTAGTTGGAATCGCTTCAACAAGAAAATGATCAACTAAAGGAGAAACTAGAAGAGGTCACTTTGGACTTAGAAATCCTGAAGAATGAAGTCAGTGAAGGAGGTAATTTAAAGTACGACTTTGAAATTTAAAAAGGGCTCAGTTGAACTCTTTCTTCAGTGTTGAGGACAAATTAGGGACATTAAGATCCCACCACAGGAACGGCAACCAAAACATGAAAAAGCGATAGGTTTAATAAGCAAAACATCTTACAATGCTGCTCGTGGAGTACACTTTTTTGTACATTTCTTTGCTGTCACTGCACAACTATAACATGAAAATGCCTAAATAAGCCACAAAGAAATTTACTTTCTCTTTCTAAACTTTGATATGGTTCTTAGGAATTCAAATCTAGGAGAGTTTGCCTACATTTGACAAAGTAAGTTAATTGGAATTATCACGATATACATGTGGATTTAGATTTTTACTGACTTTGTCTTTGATACTTACAGGTATTGAAGGTGCTGCCACAAATGCTCAGGTGAAACAACTTGAACAGCAGAATGGCAGATTAAAGGAAGCGATCCTTAGGTGACTGAACTACATTTAGCATTTCCTCTTGCACTATAAAAATTTGGATGTTCTAGAGAGAAAACCTAAAAAAGAAAGGCATTTTGTTGCAAGCTTAAGTTCCCCAGTCTTTGAGAATGTGAAATCAAGATGAAGACCAAATTTGTAAATAGAATAACAGAGGCATAGAAATAGAGAGGAATACTAGAAAATAAAAAGAAATCAACTTAGTGAAACTCTTGCCATGTCTCTAGCCCAACTATCATGTTTTGAAAACTTCCGGCATACATTGGCCTGCGAAAACAGCCGTTTCTCCTTGCTCCTCACCACTGGGGATGTTTAATGAGGAGGAACGTCTGCGACTCGGCAACAGAAATTCCATACTGATGACATAAATCAATGTTTACGTAATAAATTGCGTTTCTCCTGGTCCATTTTTTGTAAAGTGTTGTGATCATCTGAGAACGAGCTCCAGCCGACTCAAATACTTCTTCTATTCCACAAATATTGACTGTTTTGTTATAGATTCACCGCATTTACATTTCACCTTTGTAGCCTTTTGTCTTTTGTCGGTCATTTGTAAACAATGGCTAAAACAATGTAACTACTACTTCGTCCAATCAACACTTCTGACCGGATTCCAGACAGATTTTACATGATCAGTATGGAATTTCTGTCCCTGAGTCGTAGACATTCCTCCTCGCAAAATGTCCCCAGCAGGGAGGAGCAAGGAAAAATGGCTGTATTTGCAGGCTATGCATGCATCTATTCCAGTTTCTTGTAATGTTCTTTTATGCTTGTTGTAATGTTTGTGCTTGTTGTATCAGGCTTAAGGAGGTTCAAGCAAGTGACAAAGCTGAGATGCAGTCGTTACAAAAACAAATCAAGGACCTTCAAAGTGGAAACACAACACTACAAAATGAAAGAGATAAACTGTCTGAAGAGTTGCAGGTACATGAATTATAAACCCTCAGATAATCCCTCGTTTTTCTCTGTCTTCACTCGTACTGTAGTGGCTTTGTGCCTAGTTATCATTATTGAGCATGCCTATAAGCACTGAAATACATCAACAGTAAATGCAAATAGGCCAGTTTCAAATTGTTAAAATTTGTATTTGGCTCTGAGGCTTAGGGGTATAAACATAAGAAAATGCATTGATATCCAGAAGCAAAATCATCAGAGAAACTCATGGTGTTGATTAGAAATACATTAACCTAATTTAAATCTGCTTGCCTTCATTAATGTTGCCTCTGCTAGGCAACAAAGCAATACTGGCTGTGTCTGTTATCGATCTCAGCCATTCCCTACAACAATGACATATTTTACGGGTGCATAATCTGTTAGCTCTTATGGGCTTCTTAAAATTCGTTCCTTTTCAGGAGGCTGAATCTTCTTTGGCCGAACTTAAAGATCAAGTATGTGGTTTGTTTGTTTGCTTGCTTGTTTGTTTTAATTTAAACTCATCAACAATAGATGAGCTTGGGGAAGGTGCCTGAATCATGAAGCCTCAAGCACAAGAGAGGAATGTGTAAGGTAACCATGACAACCCTGTGAGTGGCAGCCACCAGGCAAGGTCACACTAAAAAAACAGTGGAACATTCTTATCTCATACTTACCACAGAGAGGGAGGGAGGGCAGGGAGTGAAGTCGCCAAGCATAACTGAAACGGGCATAGCACACGAGAGAACGAGTTGACCTCAACAGCTGAGCTGTAAAACCACACCACCCCCTATAGACCCCCACCACTCCACATGCCTGCAATGGGGGAGGCCGCTGACCAGCATTGTTTCGTGTTTAACTCGGCTTATGTTAAATTGCTTTTAACCACATTATATATTTCAACTTTATCACCTTAACTGCATGATTGAAACAGAGAAATAAATTAAGTGTAAGCCTTTCTTATAATCAGCAAACCGTATACTTGAAAAAAGTATTGACCTATTCATGCACACAATCAAATTTTATTGTCTCAATGAATTGTTATATTTATCTGGACTGCACAAAAAGTGAAAGTACTTCTTTTTTCTTAATTTTAACAATATTCTTAGGTTGACACTGCTTTAGGAGCAGAGGAAATGGTTGAAACTCTTACAGATAAGAATCTGGCTTTAGAAGAAGAAATCAGAACACTCCGAGAAAATGTTGCAGATTTAGTGAGTTCATCTATTACATAATTATTTAATTTCAATGTCATCTACTTACCGTACTCCCAAGGTTTTTCTGTTAAAATAATTATTATTTTGTAGAAGAAAAAATGGGTAAAGTAGTGAAGAAATCAACTTGTAACCGACTGTTATGTGAGCTCTGTTTTAGCTATGTTAAAAGATGAAAGCTTTTCTGTGATGGTTATACCCAACTACATCCCACTAAACAAAATAGATAAATAGGATGCAACCATTTTTTACTAAATGTTTGTGCAAACATTTTAAATTTTTATTTTTCTTCTCACATTAATAGTTTTTGAAGATTGAAAATTGGGTAAAGTGAGACTTTCTATCAGCCCTGGTACATGTAACTGAAATTAACCTTTTGATTTTGTAGGAGGCTCTCAGAGATCTCAATGAGGAACTTGAAGAGAACCACATGCAAACTGAGCGGGACTTGAGAGAGGAATTAGAAATGAACAGCAATAATCTTCGGGAGGTAAACATATGCCCACAAACTCCCAAGCACACTTTTTTGCAGATGGTGCTTTTTTTGTGCACAACTTCCTATATGCTGTGTGCTTTGTGGTGTTTTTTATTCCTTTTATATTGTTAGAATGACCTTTGAGCTTTAGATACTGTAAATCAAACTGCAATTAATAAATTGTGGAAGCAGAATTCATCAATTTGTTCAAGAGTTCCTTCAACTTCTGATGACTGATTTCTTGTCTGTAGATGGAGCGTAAACTGGAGGCAGCACAGGAAAGTATTGGAGATCATCAGCAAACAATTCTGAAGTTCAGGGATTTGGTAGCCAAACTACAGGTGAGAACTGTGTTTATTACCAATAAGGAATTGCTTGATATCAATGATGTTGTAGCTAATAGAAAGCTAAACAATGATGACAACTATAGCAATGAGAAAACAAAAAAAGACAAAGAGAAGGCTCATTACCAGGTCTTTCTCTCTTGATAAGCAAGAATCCAGCAACAGTTTGAATTAGAGGTAGAAGTAGACAGAATAATATAGATGATACCATTGCTATTATTTCATTGTCTAATTTTCCACTTATTTTTACAGGAAAACAATCGAGCTATGCAAGTGCAGCAAGAAGACTCGGAAAAACAAAAGATCATTGACATTCCTTCACCTGAGCTGCTTGACTTTAAGGTCAAAGCTGCTGAGTTCAAGACCTTCACTAAGGTAATGAGTTAACTTACAAAACTGAGTATAATAGACCCACAGTTTTTTTCAATTTTTGTCTGGGGCCAGGGCTGAAAGAATACCTTTACATCAGTTAAGTTGCCAAGTTTGAATGTGCTTTTTAAAAGCAAAATAATAAAGACATAGCTCTTTTAAGTCGCAAAATTTTACCAAAGCAAGCAAAAGTATTGCTCCACAAAGTTGCAAAATTTTACAGAGGTTTGTGTGGTGGGGGGCAAGCACAGCATCTCACAAAAATGTTACGAGGGAGTATCAATGATTTAAACATCAACTTTGTATCTCAACCAAAATGTTAGGACAACGCTGGGCCCTCCTTAGACTGAGAAATTAGACAAATTCTACGAGCTCAAGTGTAGGACGGAACACAGTTACAAATGGCTTAAGCCAATTCTTTTTTTTCTGTAGACCATGGAAAATGACTTGAGAAAGTACGAACTAGAGCAAGCTAATGAGCAGATTAAAATGCTTCACTCGTTCATGCCTGAGACATTCTTAAGGAGAGGAGGTGAGAAAGAGGAGTTAATGGTAGACAGTATCATAATAACTATGTATTACAGCTGCTGACAATTTCTAGGTTGTGGATTACTAACTATACATTTCAGCATTAATCATCTTGCATATTGACTATTGTTAACTTAACTAACATCGCGCCAGCATTTCGCCAGCATTTCACTATAGCATTTGAAGAAGGACATGGTTTGGAAGTACAGGAGAATTGGGATGGGGGCGGTCAATTCTTGATACAGTCGAACCTCTCCACAATGGCTACCTTGGGGACAGAAGAAAGTAGCCGTTGTGGAGTGGTGGCCATTATAGGGAGGTAGGGGTATATGACACTGAGTCTCAGCTTGAGGTACATGTTCTAAGAATGGTCTTACAAGAAAAGTAATGTATTTACCCTTTAATTGAATTGAAAGACTTGCCCCGATTACTCGTTGACCCGCCATATGGATCAAGTTTTGTGACCATTCTTGTCATTTTCGTCAGTCACTGAAAAAACCGGCCGTTGTCGAGAGGTTATTTCGGCAGTTGGGGACACGCTTTGGTCGCCATTGCTGTTGTAGAGAGGTGGCCATTAGTGGAGGTTTGACTGTATTTTGGAGTCAAAATGGGCCAAACGAAGGACTTCTGTCAAGGAAAAGAAAAGGGGTGGGAGTCCAGAATGTGAGGTACCGAAGGCAAAATGAAAAAATCGACACTTTAAAAGATCACTGATAGCCCTGTTCGTCATATTGTAGGTGACAATGAGAGTGTTCTGTTGCTCTTACTTATTCCACGCCTGAGTTACAAGACTGAACTGCTACAATCTCAACTCAGACAGAAGGTACATTTTGTGTTTGTTTTTTGAGAATTTTTTTTACAGAACTGTACAAACTCTTTAGCTCATTGGTTGAAAGCTTCTATTGTCTATGAGGGTACAGACAATAGAAATGGAGCAGTCCTTTGTCACGCAACACGAGGAGCTTTTCATGACTTTTGTCCAAGGGGTCTACGAAGGAGACTATGACAATGCATGTATATTTCTTACATGGTCTTGTGTCGTTGAAATTTACTCTTCCATTGCCTGTGATAACTGAGCTTCACTTTCTTTTGTGCAGTATGAGATAGCTGAATGCCTTGAAGACCCCAAGAAGATCCATGGGGATGTTGGAGAGGGATTAAGCTTTGCTACTGGGTTGATCTACCAACTTGCTACTCTGCAAGCAGTCATCAAGAATATTGAAAGGTATATTGAATCAATTTTCTTCCTTGAAACTACTATTTGACCTTACACAGTATTATGGCCATATGAGAAAAAACAGCGTTCAACCAAAGCATTTAACCAGAGGGTGAAAACTGGAAATGAAGACTGTATATCGGTTCTTGCCTCCTTAGTATTACTCTCTACTCTGGGAAAATTTCAATGGGTGCGTATTGCATGTGTTCTGAAATCCCGAACCTGTTTCAGACCAAAATTTGTGATTGAAATTGTTTCTACTCTTTCTTCTCAAGCTCAAGAGACCAACGGTAAAAAAACCTAACTAACGCCAGACCCTGGGGTTAATTCAGTAAAACCTTACAATGATAATTTACAAGCATGACTATTGTTTTCAGACTCAAAAAAAATAGCTTTACAACTTTTAACTAAGGCCTATTTCAAAGGGAGAACTTTACATATACCGAACCTAATCCCTTCAATTAAGTACTTAAAAAAGATCGACGTTTGAATCAATAAACTCCGACAAGTTTAATTTGAATCTACCCATGAATTAAGATCGAGTGGCCCACATGGGAATTTCGACTATGGAGCGACTTCGTTTCAAAGGTCGAACTTTTCATGTGCCGAATCTAATGCATGAATTACCATAATTTATTTTGATAGCTAAGCATTGTAGATCATTGCAAACGTGAAAATGAATTGAGTCCGACTAATGAGGTTCGACTCTTGAATCAATCGTTGTACTTATTTCTCATAGGTCGACCCAAATAGGTTTTAGGTTCGGTACATGAAAAGTTCGACGTTTGAACTGTTTGAACTGTTTTTGTGTTTGAAGGGCTCTGAATAAATGTGATGCTGGCTTATTTAACAAGTTAGTGGGTATATACCCAGAACTAGCCGTTCATGAGAGAGCATTGGATACACTGATTGACTTGTTCAAGAAAGACCAGGTACCAATCAACGATTTTTCGTCTCTCCTGTCGCCAGGCGAATTAAGGTGATGTTACACGAGACGATTCGCAACAACGATCTTTAGCGCAACAAAGCTTTGCAGTGTTGGAACAATGTTGTTACTATGCGAAACAATGTTGCAAAGGTTTGTTGAGCTAAAAATCGTCGTTGCGAATCGTCTCGTGTAACATCACTTTTAGGTTTAGTAGCTTTCATTTGAAAAGTCAGTTTCTGGCAGAAGCCGATTTTTAGGAGCCTCCATAAAAAAACGAAAGGTGCTGTAACCTTGAATCAACCATTTCCCGTTTTAATTTATTTTTTAGAACTATAATTTCCCGCGAAATTATCGTTTCCGGGGTCTTCCGCACAGAAGCTCATAAGAAAAAATGGCGGCCGTGGGAGGAAACTGTTTTCTTTGTTCTCTCGCCGTTTTTTCTTATTTTTCTCCTTCATTTTGTTGTATTTCAGCTTGATTACACCGTTTCCATGGAGCCATTGGAGAAGGCAATTCACTATTACACTGTAAGTCATCTAAATCAGATATAGAAAAGTAATAAAAATTTTGTGTTACACAGGATAGAAAAGGTCTCAAGGAGAAGTCTTAATTCAATTCCAGAGAAATTGGCCTGCATTTCACAAAATATCCGAGTTGGGATAATCGCGATGAGGTTATTTATTTGACGATGGCAGGAATAGCTCGGTCAGTAGAGCGCTTGACTGCAGAGTGGGAGGTCGCGGGTTCGATTCCCGGGGCTGGAGCAATACTCAGAGTCTTAAGTAAATGAGAAATGACGGTACTGCGTTTGCCTTATAAACGGCTAGACCGTCGCTTGGCTCGAATGACCACGTAAAATGGCGGTCCCGTCTCCAGTTGGAGACGTTAAAATACAGTGATTTTGTTACAAATAGTTATGGTGAGTCCTGGGACTCATCTTGTGAAAGATCATGAGTCTCAGCCCAGAAACATCGAAAAAATTTTTTTGGGCCCTTCGGGCCTCAGTTTGGTCTAAGAATAAGGGGGGGCTGGTCCCCTGGGCCCCTCCCCTGAATCCGCCACTGTTTATCATATCAGGATTTAACTCGACGATGATGATTTGGTGTAAATACGTCTTTAAATGAATCAAACTTGTTTTTCAGACCATGGTTCGGTTCCATTTAGCTGGTAAACCTGTGTCGTGTTCAGATTTCCTGGCAGATGAATTGAGGTTATTTTCTGCTGGCACTGAAGGTTCAACTATAGAGATTGAAAGGATGAAAAAATTTGCAAAGGTTCGTTGATTTAGTTTTTACAGCGTTTTGTCGTCAATTTTTGCGAGCCTTGTTGTAAATGTTTTCTATAGGCTCTGCACACCGCTTGTTTGCCATAGATCAGGGAATGGTCAGGCAAAAATAAAATTATTTTATAGTGTGGGACAATTGGAAGAAGATTGTCCAATCACGACAGTTTCTGAAAACAAGAGTTTCAAGTTTTTTTTGCAAGTGGACCAATAACAGACTTGCCAACTCCCAAAAGGTAAAAAATGTGAGATTCTGAACCTAGAGCTATGAAAAGTGGTGAGAAATGGGTGAAAAGGCATGAGTTGTCCCAAATCTCCTAGTGGAAGGACTTTCAGTGGAGATTATGGGTATTGGAGCAGTAAACATCACGATCAGTTTTACGATATTTTAGGTTTTGTAATATCTATGTTTTGTTGGCGCCAACTTGAAATAAGAGAAACAGTAAGTCTGCACATTTGGTGGCAGCGGCAAGTCGCAGGAGGCTAAAAGAATGTAACCTTGGGTTGAGCTGGCTTCCTATTGATATCTTGTTGGGAAGCGAACCCTACAGCTCCAAAACTTTTGGAGTTTGACTTTTCGAGAAAGCGTGAGAAATCAGTTGCCAACTCGTGAGTACGTGTGTCAGGTCCCAAAATCGTGAGGCTCATTTTTATTTTAGGCTTGGCAAGTCGGCCATAAAATTCAAGGTTCAACGTTGCAGCCGTTGAAAACTTTAAAACCGTCCGAACATACCTGACCTCTCAGGAAACAGCCCTCAAATTTATGAATGTTATTGGTCCTCTGACAAAAAAACTAGAATCTTTTGTTTCAGAAAACGTTGTGATTGGACAATCTTCTTTTAAGTGCCCCTGGCTTAGTGTCCGCACTCAGAGTCACAGAAAAGTCAGGGAATTTTATGTTGAGAAAGTGAAATTGAAATTTTATCACCAAGGATTAAACACCATTGAAGGCTTAAAGAAGCTTTTCACTGTCACTGTGGTCTCAAGTGATGTCCTGCTTTCGCTAATGAAAGAGGCGAACTGTCACTATCAAACTTAATATTCATGAAAAGAGCGGAAGAGTTGAAATGATGGCCTGAGGCAGTGTATATATCGTACATTTTGTATTTATTTTCTCAAGGTATAATCCTTTTTATATGTGAAGTGCCAGGGAATTTTGAAAAATTATGTCTGTGACAAACATGCACAGCTCTGAATGTTACAACTTGGAAAGGCTATGGCATTTAAACAATTCACTCATAATTAGCTGTTGTAATCTTAATTTTGTGTTCCGTTTCTGTTCTTTTGTCAGAACTGTGATGAGGGAAGTGCTTTTGGTGAGCTTGTTCAAGACATGGAACTGAGAAATGTTGAAGTTCAGCAGTTATGCAGAAAGGTGACTTGACCTCAATTCATCTAGTTTACAGTTAGACTGATTTTTTGGCGTTAAGCCGCAGGAAGTACACTAGCAACTACTCGTTGGTGGTGTAGATGACGGAGTATAGCATTTAGATTCGTTGTTGGACTATCTTGCGTCTCTTTCCTGTACCTCGCTTCGCGTTGGGCTGCATAGCATGTTTTGAAGGCTATGTTGCAATGTAATGAGTTTGTACGGCTTCCGTTACACTTTAGCTCCTAATTAAGTCTCTCTTGACTTGGTTATCAGTCAAACCCCGCCAAATTGTTTGGAGTTGTTCTTAAACTTGTCTGCCCTTTGGAGCATCAAGGGTCCTTCGTGATAATTACAGACGTTCGAGTGACCTCAAAGAAATGGAGTTACTATCTGCGGAGGAGACTAAAAAGAATCATTGTGGACGGTAAAAAACACTGACTGGGACCGTATACTCAGTTCCATATCTCATATGAGCGTAGCAAATCATTTAGCTGTGATTTGAACCTTTTAACTTGATTTTATATTTCAGATCAAAATAAGAATGCCTGAAGACCAGTCCAGTACGCTGTCATTTTCTGATAAGGTTTGTGAGAATATTTTAAGGAAAAAATGGTTTGTTCTGAGGAGGCAGCGTGGCCGAGTGGTCAGCGCTTCGGACTCGCAATCCGGCGGTCCCGGGTTAGTCCCGGGTTAGTCCCGAGTCCCGCTCTAGCGACTTGCTGGATTTGTTCTTGGTCGTCCCGAGTTCAAATCTTCGACCAAGCTTGTAAGTTGCCAACTGGTTGCCTCCTGCCAGTTGAGGTTTTTAATCGTGTGATGTTGTATTTGAGTCATTTGTTTCTAAATATTTGAGTGGAGTGCCTGTAAACTAGCTGGATAAGCTAAGTGTACTTTCCACTATAAACAAGCTTTAAACGTCGGGGAAGCCAGCGCAATAGAGACGTTCAGTTCGAGAACGTGGACGAGATTTTTTTCTTGTATTCTTAAAAAATAGAGATCCCAGAAAGCTTTATTTTACTTATTTCATCAGGAAAATAAATACGGTTATTTAATTTTTTATTGACTGAGGTTAAGCCCTCTTCAGATCGCAAAATGATAAAACTTCTATCATTTGACATCTCGCGTAACCCGTAGTAGAATAACGGCGGCTATCACGTTTTCCCGCCAAAACAACGCTGGTTTACGCAAGCCCACTATTCAATGTTGAGAAAATCTTGTACTCGTACTTGCCCTCGTCTTAGAATCTAAAGGTCCATATTACGACAGTGAACCCAGTGAAAGCAATACAAACGAAAGGCTTAGTGAGCAAAAAGAATGTCTTAGCATACACGTTTTACAACAAACTTCAAGGTCTGTATTCCCGTTCGCCACAGACCTGTCTGTATCTGATAGCAGAGTCTTGTACCTCCGTGATACCGAATTCAGTCACATGTTAATTAAGCAAAACTTAAAGGGCAAAACTGATGGTTTAAAAGTGTGGCATTTTTGCCGTAACTGCTGATGCCATGAGTGAATATGAATTGGTTTCCTGAAACTGTTCTTAGAGTGTTATTGATTTGACTTTCTATGTCTACTTTCTGCCTGTAGATCGATGCACCTTGTGTCTCCTACTCATGTTGTTTTTCTGTGATTCAGGTTCAAGAGTCATTGATTGCCTGCGCGAAACAGCAGAGTCAACAGCTCAAATTTTGTCGAGAATTAGCTTCTGCAGTGTCACAGAAGGCGTCTAGTTTAGCTGGTAAGAACGATTAGCAAACTCCTGTTTCTGCACAATAGCATCCCCTCCTGTTGTTCTTAACTGTTCTTCTGCACATGTCAGCTGAAATGTTATGTATCGGCGTCGCTTTCGGTAACATCACCCAATCAGAGGTAAAACCAAAACAACCCGTGACTTACTCGCTCGCATTTTCGCGTGCTAATCGCCCTCTGCCATTCCTTGTCTCTTACTGGTTTTTCTTCCAAACACTGCTAAGCCTGACTAACCCATGAGACATTGTCGTGAACTGACTGTTTCCGTGGGTAGCGGCCCAGCAACATGTTACGGACGCAGATTTGCTTTTGAGTCAAAAGTTTTATGGTTAAACTACTTCAGAAGTACAAACGTCTCCGCCACAGCTTGCCTTAGCTCAGGCGGTATTTTAGTTTCAGGACTTTTAATACAGTTTAATACTACTCTATCAATACCACAAAACTTAATCACAGAGTATCGAAGGGAGCGTTTGGTGATTGCTAGACATTTCAGATACCTTGTTTTTACTTTACAGAAAATGAACATTTGCTAAGTGGCCAGCTAGATAAGTTAGCAACCGATATAGCGGTGCTTGTGTTTGAAACCGATGAAATCCCTTGTAGAGATATTGTCAGGTTAGTTGAACTATTATCTTAAACTTCATTTATACCAGCAGGTTTTTTTCTTATCAGAATTTCCTTAGTAAGTAAGAAAACTTGGCAGGTATTTTTTTTGTACAGGATAAACCCAACAAGTCTTCCCATCTTGATTCTAAACGAGCAAGACTTGTACGTGTAAATAGGACTTATTCTGTCTTTTTTGTTTTTCGTGTCTGTCTGTCTCAGTATCTCTGTGTGTTTGTCTGTCTTTCTGTGTGTCCGTCGTTTTGTTTAATATCTAGCTTTATTGTAATAAAAAGGAGAACTTAATTTGAATGTCAATGTATTTCGCACGAAAGGAGTAATTGAGGACAGTATTGTTTTTACTTCTCCTACTCGAGACGGGACCGCCATTTTACGAGGTCAACTGAGCCACACGAAGGTCTAGCCGTATGCAAAGCAAAGGCAGTACCTTCATTACTTTGAGTATTTGTCCGGTCCCGGGAATCGAACCCGCGTCCTCCCGCTCAAGCGCTCTTCCGGCTGAGCTTTTCCTGCCATGGGAAACTTACGCTAATCCTCAACATTTTTTCACTTATTTCTGTTCCAGTCAAACGTTCCATGAAATCATCTCGTTCCTATACTCATTTGTAACCAAAATGCAGGAAGGTGATTATGATGCGGAGCTGCCTAAGGAGGAGTCCAAGGTATGCCAGCGGCAATTCGTGTTCTTTGCTATTGTTTTTTGTTTGTTTGTTTTTTAATCTTTCTTTGTCTTTTCTTTTCCTTATTTTTGTAACGATATTAATGAAATTAATGTTCCATTCCCTTCCCCCAAAAAACAATAAAAGTAATAGTAATAATAATAATAATAATAATAATAATAATAATAATGATAATAATAATAATAATAATAATAATAATAATAAAATAATAATGGGAGTGATTTTGTTCACAGATTAGGGTCCTCCCTCATCTGTTTAGAGAGGGCACTTGTCTTCCTTTGGACCTATTCAAAGTTTACCAATCAAACACGCTACATTTTTGTTAAACTCGCTTTGCAGCAATGAATGCTGCACGTTTTACCACAGAGTACTGTTGCCTGTTGCCGAAGCTTTCACAGTTTTTTTTTTTTACACTTTTAAAGGGTTTTTTTTCAACCAGCAGTAATGTTCGCCTTGCCTAGTCCCTAGGCCTCATTATTGCGCGCGGCCGATGCATTTCGGGTCACGTGGCCCGAGCCAGGTTTTGAGCGTTCGTCTCGGATACGTCACCGAAATGCATTGGCGGAGAAAGCCTGGGAAGACGCCCTACAAGGACTAGGCAAATGTTCACCCAATATGACTCTGATCTCTTTTTTTTTAGGTGGATCCGCCATATCTTCAGCGTGCAAAAGCCTTTAAGTCTGAGTTGTTTGATTCAGCTGGTGTGGAAGAAAAACTACTACAGAAAGAGAACGAGTTCATGGATCTCAAGAAAAATATGAAATTGAAGGTATTATGGACTTAGAGATAGAAATAATCAGAACCTTTTCCATCTGGGGAATTTCTTTTGCGACACGCTTATTAAAATGAGACAGATGTGAGTGTTTCCAATTCATCGTACAGAGAGTGACTGATATAACCTTTACAAACGTCTCTTCTTCCTTCCTTATATTTTCAGTTCAATCCTTTGATCTATGGATACGGACCCGGCGTGAAATGAACTTTTTTGCTTCCACTTCCTTGTTTCCTTTCTATGTTAAAGACAAGTGTTTGCTAATTATTGTGTTGTAATCTCTCTTTTGTATTGCCTTTTCTTCCCTCTTCTCTCGTTAATAGAATGAAGAGCTCAGTCAGGCTAACATAAGAATTGGATTATTAGAGAAGCGCTTGGAGAGTATAAACAAAGAGGTAAGGCCACTCTGTTTATGAATCCACCGTCTGTGCCGAAAGAAACAGTGCCTTGACACGGTTAGTTATAGTTTCTCGATCCCACTAATATATGCTTGAACGTTTACCCTGACTAAAAGAGGGTTTCTAACCAAACGTAATCAAACTAAACTAAATATTATTTGAAGGTGGAGTTTGAAGATCGTTTGGGGAAGCACCGAGCAATAATTCGTCTCCTTTGGTCCCCCACCTCCAAAAATCACTTGTCACGTACATTCGTGATGCCAAAGGTGTATGTCTGTGATCTTTTTTTGCGTTTGTGTGGTGCGTCCTTTCGGGACAGATAATTTTCGTCTGTGCTTTCTTGTTTGCTTTTTGGGCTATTTCGTCAAGGATTAATCAGACATAACTTGCCTCGAACCATCACAATGCCAAAAGGGTCTGTCTTTATTGAGTTTGTTCAGTTTGCGTTTGCTTGAGGCGTGTATTCTCGACAGGAAAATTTATTTTGTTTGTTTGCGTCTTTGGCCTTTCGGACTGTTTCTGGGTTTATCAATCATGGGCAACCAATTTAATTCTCGATTGGTCTTAACTTAGTCTTTTTATCAACAAATTCAGCATGAGACCGTTAGTCGCCATTTGAATAAATAATTTTACTTGTTAATCGTTGGGCAAAGCCGAGACGTAAGAATAACTTGGTTTAGGTGATCGAAAACATTTCAGCATTTGACGGGACGATAATGGTGTTTCAGATGTGTTAACTGGTGGTTTGAAATTATTCCTTGAAGGCGGACGCTAGGGTGGAGGCAGCAAATCGGAAAATGGAACAAGCCACCGGAGATCTGCACAAAAAGGAACGGTAAGCTTCGAACTTTAGTCATAATTTTCTCCACAAAGGGACAAGGTTTTTCTGTTTCCGTGTGTAATTTCGTAAGGTCGATTATCTAAACAGAATCAGACACTATTTGTCATGTTTTCCTGCTTCCTTCAGTTTGTCCATGAAAACAATACTTAAATTTTCTTGGGCATTCTACCTCCATAAAAGTACCTACGTAACCATTTTCCTTCAGTTGCTCTGAGAGTAATATCTCAAGTAAGTCTCAATACCTCTTTTGTGTTTTGTTTATTTAGTGAATTTGAAGATACTATGGATGCTCTTCAACTGGATATTGACAATCTGGAACGCGAGAAAGTGGATATGAAGAAACGTTTAGATGCGTATTCAAAGAAGTCTCTCCTAGCAGACTTAGCACGCCATGCTTCATCGTCGTCCAGTATTGCAGCTGTTGTGGCAGGTATGTAATGGCGATTGCCTTCGTCATCACCGCCACTACTTGCACCCTCGTCATCATCAGCACCCACCATCAACACCATAATCATAAACATCATTACCATCACCACCATCAACTCCGTCATCATCATTAGCACAAATGCCATCATCATCATCAGCAGCAGTAGCAGCATGACCAGCATCATCATCGTCATCATCACCATAATATCATCATTATCATCATCATCATCAAAAATAAAAAAACAAACAGCGGTGATAAACATTGTGAACTTTCGCATTTTTTCTTGAAACTTTACGTTTCTATGCTATACAGTTTATGAAGTGCTACTAACCACGCAACCAAGAATACGATTGCGGGCTCCCATGTTGCTCGCCCGTAATAAACAAAACGTTTCTGTTATGCACACCAGCTGCTCAAATGTTATAAAAAAAGCACGATGTAATTATTCTATCCCATCAGGTGCTGCGGCAGTGAAGGCAGGCGGTGGCTCTCCCCTGAGGGGTGGTGCGGGGGCAGGTCAACAGCCTGTTCAAGTGGTCATCAAGGACTCACCTATCATACTGGCACAGGTATCCGTACTCTTAAATTTTGACCCAGCAAGTTTAATTTCAACTAAATTCGATTACACATTGTAGAGGGTAATTAAGATTCCAGTCCCCAGTATCTGAGGGAAAACACCGTGTGATTCGCATTAGAGGAATGTGCCTCGCTGATTTTTGTCATCAATATGTACCCGCGTGTCCGTTGAATTATAACACGGACTACACTATACTGTGGGCGTACGTTGTAAGGCTCAAAGGCATGATCACGTGTGAAGACATCGCTTGATCAACAGCAAACACGCCTGGAAATGTGATTCCATAACACCAAAACATTTCCGTTGATAGTCAAAAAATTATGTTTTAAGTCTTCTTAATCCTTTTTTTCAAAAACGTTTTCCATTGCCTAATAAGATTTAACACTTGTGAAATTTTACGTTGCGTTTCAATGACAAAAAACCTCATCTTCTGAAGAAAAACGAATGACATAAAATGAACATTTTAATGTTGTTTGTCATGTCGCTGATTACTTGAGCTTCTTTTACCTTTTTAGGTGGATTCGCTCAAGATTGCTTTGAAGCATCTGAGAAATGAAAACATCAGGCTCAAAAGCCAGCAATTGAAGGTGCGAGGACATTTTACATGGTCTAAATTACGTCGGTATAGTTAATGAGTCAGTCAGTCAGTCAGTGAGTCTCTGTTGGTTTTTTTTTGTCCGTCAGCCTTCCGGTTAATCAGCTAGTTATGTTCCTACTCGATTATTCAGTCGTCCAGTGAACAACAATGAGATATTCAGTCAAGGAATCAGTTAGCCAGTTGGCCAGTTTGTTCTTACGTTTGTTAGAGATTCAGTCGGCTAAGCAGCTAGTTTGTATGCCCATTCGTCAGTCAGTCAGTTTTTCAGCTGGTCTTGCAGTCGTTTGCCTGATTAAAGAACTAATATCTTATCTCGTCGACGATCAAGTTTACGTGTGGAGTGCACTTATGATCAATATACTGGACGAAGTGGCACCTGTGAAAAAAATGCGTGTGCGTGATAAAGATGTGCCCTACATGACGTCTCATTGGAAAAGTGCGATTAGAGCTAAACGCAGAGCAAATGACAAGTACTTGAAAAACAAAACGCCAGAAAATTGGGAATTACGACGTAAAGCCAGAAACGAGGCCACTAAACAAAGAAGAATCGCCATCAAACAGTACTGGTATAATAAGTCAAACGATTTGAAAAACAATCCCAAGGCGTTTTTCAAAACTTTCAAGCCATTTTTGGGTTCTAAGAGCTGCACTGAAAGAAACGACATCCACTTAAAAATAAACGGCAGTATGATAACGGATCAACAACAAGTGGCTGAGGAATTGGTTGAGCATTTTGCTACCTTGGCGGATGGCATTGGCTCGATTGAAAGAAAGTCAATAGAGGACTTTAGAGACCATCCTTGTGTTCAGAGGATACAATATGAAAATAGGAATTCCACTCAGACCATTGAAATCGAACCGGTTACACAGGGTCAAGTCCTTGCAGCTCTCGATTCGCTGAACGTAAACAAAGCCACCGGCACTGATGGAATTCCTTCAAAGGCTTTAAAAACAGGTGCTAATGAATTATCCGCTCCACTAACCACCTTGTTCAATTCTTGTATTAACAAGAATGCATGACCTAGTGAATGGAAATATGGGCATTGGGCCCCAGTATACAAAAAGGATGACAGAAATGCAAAGGAAAACTACCGGCCCATAACTCTCTTACCATGTGTAAGTAAAGTTCTTGAGAAGTTGGTTGGAGCGCAGATCAACTCTGGCTTTGGTAATTGCATTTACCAAAACTCATCCGCTTATCGCAAACCTCACAGCTGCGAAACAACATTGATCAATTTAGTAGAGGATTGGAGAATAGCGAGGGATCGAAGACAGGTTGTGAGCATACTTTCAACTGACATGTCAAAGGCATTTGACTCGTTACACCCACCACTACTTCTGAACAAGCTTGAAGCGTACAGTTTTCTGGAAAGCGCTATTCAACTTTTAAACAGCTATTTAAATGAACGGAAACATCAAGTAAAGATCGGCCGTCATGTTAGTTCGAGCCGATTCGTGAGTCGCGGCTGTCCTCAGGGTTCCGCGCTTGGCCCGTTGTTATGGAATGTTTTCCAGAATGACCTATCCTACTGCCTAACAGCGAACTTGTCTATGTATGCTGACGACCATCAAATTTACCACGCAGGAGCAGACCAGGCAGCTGTGACTTCCCAGTTAAAGGATAGTGCCAACTTAGCAACAACGTGGTATGATTCTAACTTATTGGCGGGAAACCTCAAAAAGTACCAAGTTTTGAACTTGGGCTTCACTCAAAATGACAGCAATATTTGTGTGAATGATGTTGTAATTGAAACTAAAGATAATATCATACTTCTAGGAGTAGTGTTAGATTCTAAGCTAAATTTCTCTGAGCATATAATATCTACCTGTAAAAAAGCCAGCCAGAGAATTGGTGTTCTAATGAGACTACGTAATCTAATTCCTATGAAATCTAAGTTAATATTATTCAAAAGCGCGATATTACCATTCCTCACCTACTGTCACCTAGTGTGGCATTTTTGCAAAGCGAGTGACACTCGAAAGCTTGAAAGACTACAAGAAAGAGGACTTAGAGCGGTTTTCAAGGATAATAATTCTAGTTATGAACAACTATTAGAGAAGGCAGACCTGCCCACACTACTAAATAGTCGCTTACAGGATCTGTGCATCCTTATGTATAAAGTAAAGCATAAACTGTGCCCTGCATATATAAGTAACATCTTTAAAGAACCAAATAGTAATTACAATCTGAGGCAAGCAGATTTCTCTATACTTAGGTATGAGACAGTCACCTACGGCAAGCACTCTATTTGTCTATCGACAAAACTACCCAAGAGTATTAGGGACGTCACAACCCTAATGTCGTTTAAAAGCAAGATACGCCAACTCAATATAAGTGAACTTTTAGATGATGGCTGCGCAGGCTGTAGCCTTTGTTCATTTTGACTTCTGTATATTTTTACTATAAATCTCGTAATTAGATAACTATGGATATTTTACCTACTACTGTATATAGTTTTTACTTTGTATATTCTCCCCTAATTGGTGTCCCCAAATTAGTAAGGGATTCTTTTTTCCCTGGCTAGACGGCTTTGACACTTTAATAAAGTTTCTATCTATCTATCTATCTAAGTGTGAATACTTCATAGAAATTGCATACGTTCGATATCTACCCACGAATTATTGATGTGTGAGGGCAGCGAATGAGTGAAATTTCTGTACAAAACACTTTCCATGTGGCATTGTTTTGCTTATATTCGTACTGTGACATTTGAACTTAATATCTGCATTCATGTATTTGCAATAAGCAGTGGCTTCATATGCGCAGTAGTTACGGCAAGGACTAACGCATTTAGTTTTCAAGTAATCAATTCATTAAGAGACACTTGGCCTGGTTTGACTGTTAAGCTCTTGATTTGCTTTACGATAGACTCAATGAATATAGAAAATATCTCGCTTCTTTTTGTCCAGTACTTTTATGGACATTTTTTTATTCCGGCCTTTTCTTTACGTAGCAACAACTGGAAGATTTGCCCAAAATATACGTTCCACCAAGAATCCAGCCTTGCACTGAACCTGAACAGAAATCTGAAGAAAAAGCCAGTGAAGAAAAACCCGAAAAAGAAGCTGTTCCAAGCCTGAATTCCATCACAAGAGAAACTAACAAACTGATGGAGGTATTTAAATTACATGACTTTGGCACAAGTTATGTTTTATCCATTCTATGTTTGGCGTCTCTCTTTTTTTCTTTCTTTCTTTGTGACCTGGTGCTTCATATCTGATGAAAGAGGACGAGATCAAGCGCAAAGAAATTATTTGGGATAGGCTCTGTCACGATGTTAAGTTAACACAATTTTAGTGAAGTTTGAAGAAACTACAAAACATTAATTTAAGGTGTCTAACCTCATTTTCAGACTCGGATAGGAAAATTCAAAGAAGTTGCCGAAAGTAGTGTTTCGCTAATTGACGTGTTATCGTCTTTTTTTCTTGTCAGAACCTGCAAAAGATGAGCGCTTTTCCTAAAGTGGTTGATATTTCTAACAGAAAACCTGGTAAGATGATTAATCGCTCAAGGTGAAAAGAGCAAAAGTTGTTGTTTATTTTCTGGTCCATCCTAACCCTAGTTTGATTATCAATAGGTTCAGTTCCTGCGCTCAATAAATTGACACCTGCCAATCATTTGGTAGAACGAGCTGCTATGTTAAGAGATCTCAAACGACAGAAGGAAGAGGTAGGCTTTACAATTCTTTGAATCGTTAGCACCTCAGTAACCTTGTGTAGCAAAATAGCCAGTAGTATAACCAGTAGTACTACGGCGCAGAACACTTCAGAAACTGAATCACAGCCTCAACAGTTAGAGACTTTCTCAGATAATATTTATTTTATATTTATTTGATTGATTGATTTCTTTATTTTTTGTTGGGCTTTCGGGACTTCGACGCTTGCTCTTTTGCTGCTTAGCCTAATTAAAACCGCTCCGCTCGCATTAAAGAGAAGTCTCGATCGAGGACTGGGGGACTTTCGAGAGTTCGATTTGAACGAAGTCTACACCTGTTACTGTATAATAAATAGTGTCAGAAGAAAGTACTGATTTTTATTGGTAGATTTCATTCGTGATTTGCGTACGTCTTCCAAAAACGCAATGATTAGAACCGTCTACTTTACTAAAGGAAAAACTGATTACTGAGTCAGCATAGAGAGATCGTTGAGAATTCACTCTATCTTGTTTTACTGATTTTTAATGTTTCTCAATTCTTTCCAGCTTCAAGGCAAGATCCAAAAATTAATAGCAGCCGAATATCCTGGAGGAATATCTCAGAGTTCCTTCTCGTCGTTCTTGTCTCCAGATTTTTCCAAGGTATTGTTAGCTGACGTAAATCTTCTATCAAGTGCTCCGGAGGGGGTTAATTATTTCAAACACGTTTGAGGGCGTAGGGGGAGCTTTATAGAGACGGGTAGCTTATTTGAGAGCGGGGGGGGGCTTATTTAAACCCCATTAACACGCGCGAAAAAAATCGGCACGGCACTCCCAGTTTTCGACATCTAAACGTATCGGTCCCAAATGTAATGTGACACCAGTGCTCAAAATTTTAGGAGTGCCGAGATTACCTCCCGGAGGTAGTCTCGGCACGGGTAAACGAGGCACGGTGCCAAAAATTTGGCGTGCCGTGCCGATTTTTTTAGCGCGTGTAAATGGGGTTTTAGTCTAGCGAAATGGGGCGCCATACTACCTTTTCAAACAACCAGAGGATGGTAAAACGCAAAGTGGAAAAGCTCAAGCACATGAAGTCAGAGGTTATGAAGCCGATGATCAATAACAAATCCAAATTTCCAGCACATAAATTAACAATACCGGATCAATCCACATAAAGTTTTACAGCCATGAATACAGTCATCATTCATTCATTTGGTGGTGAATGATGAGCTTAATAACTTTCTTTCCCCGAAAATAGGGGTTTATTGAGAGAGGGGACTTTATAGTGAATTTACAGTATTTTGAATGAATTTCCGATCGCGTAGAATGCGTATTGTTCTCGGATCATTTGGTTGCAGTTCAACAAAGTTGTAAGGAGTGTCACATTATGCTCTGTCAGACTGTCATGCATAGACGGCTATGAAAGCGCTTTAACTATAGGCTGCCTAGAACGCACGAAGATGCTTTTGTTTTTCTTTTGTTCGCAAAATCTCAGATATGCGCATATTTCGCCGCGAACAATTTAGGCCCCGTCCACACCATCCCTGATATTTTCGGGTCGTCCCCGGTGTAATATAATTTATTTGTTTTCTTTGTTTTATGGACTATTGTCAGGGTTAGGTTCATTTGTAACGATTTTTTTTCCTTTGTTTTACGTCAGCTGTGAGTAATAAATTGTATTACACCGCAGATGAGCCATATTTTCAAACGAATGCGCCTTCCATCGACAAAAAATCAACAGAAGTTAGTGTTCGCAGTAGTCATAAGAAAATGAGGCATGAACGCAATGCCTGCTCAGTTTAAAATTCGCGGCTAGTCGGCTATTCAAGACGCTTTTGCATTCAATTTTTGCTGATTATGATGTCTAGGCATTCTGCGCGATCGTGCAGGGCAAAATAAAACACTGCTGATTCTTCTGTTAGAGCTGGTAAAACTGTCTACCTAGTTCGTATCAACATTTAAAACTATGAGCTTCCATTACACTCAGCAAAATAAATTGTTCAAACATTTTCTCTGTGATCTTCTAGGTGCTCCAAGAGAAGGCACAGGCACCCCAGCTTGGGAGAGTTACCATTCCTGTGCCATCACGTACAAAGTCAAACAAGTATTGCGTAACATTGAAACCTCAAGAGTTCCGAACGCTTCATACGGTCTTTGTCAGCTAGAAATCGGGAACTTACACTTATTTTATCTAGCTGAATATGTTATTTAAAGAGGGGTATATGACAAACTGCAGCAATTATTTTACCACTGTTAAATAGCGTGGATGCTGACCTTGGCTCATTTTAGCCCGTGCATGTAGTAAAGAAGTCGTATTTAAGACAGTACAGATAGATTTAAACACTTATACATGAGGTGGTTTCGGATAAAAAAGTATAAAAAGGTTCAGAGATAAAGAAAAATCCGTGTTATTATAGAATCTTTACCCTAAATAAACAGCCAACATTTCGCGACATCACCACTGGTCTCCCAGCGACATCTGCTTAGTGCTTCTAATTTGTTGAAGCAAATTTTCGGAATACATTTTTTCTCCCCACACGAACAATCAGAAGTACGACGCAGATCCGGGTAGTGACACGTCATCAGTGTGGAATTTCTGTGTTTGTTTCTCACATCATTTCGAGGGGAAACCAGCGGCTGTCTTCTCAGGCCATAGAATTTCAAATGCGACTTTCTGTTGTTCGTAATGATCACCTTCTCCAGCACAGATGTAGTTGTGTCGTCACTCAACCCTTCTCCTCCCCTCGTTCCCTGCGATACAAAGAACGGTTGCTTGGGAGACAAGTGCCTTTGCCGGAGGAAGTGTGATTGAAAAAACGCTTTTTCTGCCGCTGAATACAAATCTGATGTAACAAGTCTGTTAAACTGAATGGTGTACTATATGAAAAAGAAAAAAATTAAAAACCCTTATGAAGTCTAGTTAATAAATATCAATAAACAACGCCGACAAACCCTGCTTCTTTATGTGTAGTCGTTCAAAGCTTCTTTCTCTTTCTTTCGTTCTTCTCGTGTCTATCTCTTCCTTCTCTCAAGCTTTTGTCACTGGCTTCACTTTCGTCTACGGGGTCTCAAGAATAAGCCTCGTGACTATCTGTTTGTAGTGAGCTAATACAGACTTAATTGCAAACGCAACATAACAAAAGTCGACTGAAGGAGAGGAAACAAGCGTCGTAGCATAATTCAACAGAGCGTTTCCACAGCGATGTGACGAAGGCCATCTTGGTGTACTATACAAGACAAGACAACAGTACAAAGCCAATCCTGTGGGAGTTGAAAAGTTTTTCCTATCGAAACACTTTCTTTTGAACTAATGAATGTGCATAGTTGTTCAAAACGCTGGATAACGCTATCCAGCGGATAAGTATAGGGGAAACCTATTGCGTATTCGCTGGACAGCGGATTATCCAATGGATAGCGCTATCCAACTTTTGAACAATTGGGGCCTGATTGAAAACGCTCCATTCAGTTGTCAGTCAGTGCACTGGTTAAAGAAAAACCACGAACTACCACATGTGGGAGAGTCGAAGGCGTGCACGAAGCAACGGAAAACGATTTCGACCACGGACACTATAGTCTCGGAGTGTGTTACTTGACGCTTGGGGGCTGTGTATGGTGTCTTTTTGCGGCGTTGTTCAAACGAGGGTAGGGAAGGGTGACAAAAGGGGTAAGGGTAACAGCGATCTCGTTTCTAGAGTTTCTCTTCTCCAGCCGCAATTCAGCAAAAAGCTTACGCAACACCGCGTAATTGTAAATGAGACTCTTTCGCCTGGTGCTTTATCATTACTAATATTTAGGGCTAAAAATAAAGCCCTTTTTAATATCTATAGTTTTCTCAAACAAAAATATAAAATCCTGTAATGCTAAGTGGCGACGGCAACGAAAACAGCCCAAAAAAGTAGGGAAAAACAACTTTGCACGTGCAGCACACTTTTTTTGTGCATCGAAATTTTACCCTTGACTCTCGACATTTTACCCTCGACCCCCCACAAAAACCTTCACTCTTTTTTCGCCGTTGTTTTGCACGACTACAATGTTAAACTTCCAGAAACTTCCTAGTTACACGTTTAATGGAGGAAATGTTCTTTGTGTTCCTGTTCACGTGTTTTTTTTGTTTTGTTTTTTTTTTTCACACTATCATATTTTTTTTTCACCACCGCTATAAAATTTTTATGATCTTCTGCTAACGAAATTGGTCTCCTTTGTTTTTTATATCCCTCGATCGCTCTAGCTCTTTTTCTGTTATTTACATCAATGTAGACATGAAAAAGAATCAGCTTTGTTACACTAGAAAAACTCCATTGGCTGCCTCTAGGTAAACTTCCGCCTCCTCGATAATCTTTCGCCAGGACAAACGCAATCTTCATGTCTTGGATTCCCCGTCACCCTTGCAAAGGCTAGTTAGTACCACCCCAGAGTCTACTTAGTACCACCCACAAAGAGTGTACGGACGTACGGGCGTACGGTCACGTGACTACCAAATATTTCCTTAGCCATGGGCTCCGCGAGCGCTTTTAGCTCCGCTATAAACTTGCTATGCACAGACATAAGTTATTCCAAACATACTGCTGAGTTACCGTGGTATTTTCTAGTTTTCTCTCTACTTCTCGTCTCCTGTAGCAAAAAAAAAAGCCTCATTAAAGTGTTAACGTTTATATCCTTTTAATATCATTCAGCTGTAAATAGAGTATGTGCCACGGCGCATACTTCCAACCCGTCTGCGCAAAAACTTCCTTGGCGAGAACATCACTGTGAATGAAGTAATCTTTCTTCCTGTTTCTTTATTTAGTCTTCATACTAAGAAAGTAAACAGTATAAGTTGACTTTCCCCCGAATGTCCCCTTCTAGATCAAAATACAAAATAAATGCCATAAATAACACAAATAACAATATCCGTGAGAAAAAATAGACACAATCAAGAAAAAAAAACAAAAAGAGCCGCGTTAATGTAGAAAGGAAGCGGCGTTTTTTTAAGGGGAGCGAGGGATGCTTTTTGAGAACGACACTGAAAACCATTCCAGTCTTCGTATCGCTGTATCATTCCTTTCCTTCTGGAGCTCTCGAGCTTCTACCGAGTGTTGTTTTTTATTACCCAGGAATATTGCCTTATTAGAAACATGAGAATATGTCTAATATTGATTTTATTCACTCCGTTTTTTCCCCAACGAACAACGTAAGATACCGCGGAGAAATACCCGCGGGAACCGGAAATGCTATACAATTCTACTCTCACCTCCCCTGTCTCTAAGGAAGTTTGTTGCACTTCCTTTCCACGTGTTTCCAAATATGGAAAAGAGTTGCACCATTTGCTTGCATTGCCGGCGAAAGAAAAGCGCGGTTATTTCCTTCACCGAAAAAACTGCTTGATTCTCGCGGACCATTCTAATTGTATTCAAGGAATTAGCAGTGACTGACTTATATTTCTGTGCTGAATCCGTTTTCGAGATATTTAACTCAAATCTTTGAAACTGTAAGATCTTAGACTGAACCATGTCCGCCGACAACACCACCGAGGCAGCCGATAGAAATGTCGAAATATGGAAAATCAAGAAACTTATTAAAAGCTTAGAAGCTGCACGGGGGTAAGTACAGATGTAAAATAAACATAGTGAATACCGATAATCAACTTACGGGTCCTTGGAGAACGTAACGTTCTGTTCGTCGTACTTATAAGTGAAATCATCACACCAAGAAGGGATGCGTTTAAAATCGTCTTTTTTTCACGAAGCAGTAAGTTTATATAAGCGTAAATATGTGTTTGTGCTAATCTATATAGATAACTAAACCAGGAAACTATCATGATAGATTCTTGTGAGTACTAAATTTTCGCATATATGAATTATAGAGAACTTGAGCAACAACTTTACGCTCAGCTAAAAATTAATTAAGCTTAAAAAATTTTCAAATTTTGGACTTGAGACTTAAAATAATTCTAAAATTAGCCTCGCAAAAAACAACAAAATTCATGCATACTGTAGCCTTGTTTTATGTCCAAACTAGCGTTATCCTTAACTTATGTTGCTTTTGCAAAAGTTGAAAATGAAATATTAGTCTTTTCTCGAAATTCTTACTAAAAGCCATTAAAGTCGTAGGGAGTCCTGATTTTTTGTGGAATTCTCCTTTCGATTGGATGGGGCTGGCCAGAACTGGCTGCGTGCTGGACTGGTCTTTTTAAAAGTAAAAGGGACTTTTTAGAGTTAATTAGGAGTCGACTGATTTGGTGGGAAAGTTATGATCAACACTGTAATTCTCTTTAAAATGCGACTGGTCTGGCCAACCAGTTTTGACAAATGGTAAGCACCCTTAGTTGCCTTATGCAATGGTACACCTTGAACAAGTTATTTATTTTTAAGCAAGTTCACTCTTAAAGTAATGATGATGATGAAGATAGACCTGCTGCCTAATGGGTGCCCGGTCACCAGAGGCACTCACGATTTGCCCGTGGGTGACCAAAATTTCAAACAAGGAGCCCTAATGGGGACCTAATACTTATGATTCCAGGCCAACTTCTGGTGAACGAACACCCTGCTCATTCTGCACCTGTGAAACGAAAACGGAAAACATTTGGTCGTCAGCCTGTTGAATGATCAAGTTAAAATTCGATAAACGAAACAATCATTAATCTTATCGTCTCTTAATGATGTGAAATCCCTGTAATGTTTCCCTCGCTTGCTTTTTTTTTGTAATTTCTCTCTAATCAAGGCCCCTGATTTTAATTTATATATGATACTCAATCAATTCAGAAACAAATCATTGAGTATGAAGAAGAATACTCCACCATCAATAAAGCAGGAAGTGAGAAACTTTTATGGAGGAAATCCCATTTCATGTAGAATTAATCAAGTCCTCATTTCTTATCTAATCTACAAGCAAGCGAGAATTAACATTTTTAAAAGTGTTCTTACGTGATTTATGGTCAAAGCAGCTAGTTTGTATGGCACAGTTAGTCAACTAGGATCCCCTGACCTGAGTTTTATTCTTGTATTCTTGTTTGTAGGAATGGAACAAGTATGATCTCTTTGATTATCCCTCCAAAAGATCAAATCTCCCGTGTAGCAAAGATGTTAGCAGATGAATTTGGTACTGCCTCAAATATTAAAAGCAGAGTGAACAGGTAACTTCCTTTCCCTTTTTTTCACTTTCAGCTTTCATTATTTTTCATTCAAGTATTAAAAAAAACTACTGTTTTTGTTTCGTTCATGTTCATGAGGTTTGAGAAAAAACAGTTGGACTTCAATGGAGCAGTGCGCTAAAGCTGTGTGTGAATGAAATGCTAGATGACTATGTGACTCGTTGTTACATCTGTAGCAGTTTTCCTGGGAACTGTATATAAAATTTTACTTTTGTCTTTCAGGTTGTCTGTTCTAAGTGCTATTACATCAGTACAGCAGAGACTGAAACTTTATTCAAAAGGTTTGTTCCTCTTATTTCTTTTTTTTGGTTTTTAAGCACATGGTTTCACTATTTCCAAATAGCGGGGATGAAGGAAACAACTGACTTTTGAAGTAGTATCCAGCTAGCGCAAGATGTTTTGCAGCTGGAAATTAGCCCAAAATACAAGTACAGTGCTGGCTAATTTCTGTGGTGGAAAAAAACAGCCCTTAAAACTAACTGCCACAAATATGAAAGTTTGTTTTAAGGTATCAATCTACACTGTCAGTATCATGTCAAAATTGACAAAGATGCAGAGGGAAATATGTTCCTTGATAAGCAGTTGGGGTACAATGTAGCTCCCCATAAAGAAATATCCTACATCTGAGTATTTTGGGGATATTCAACACACAAGGAATTCTCAACTTACAGTACATCATTAGGAGTAACACTGAACATAAACCTTGCAGATGTCATTTTTGTTGCTTATTGTGTGTTGCTGTGTATTTATCATAACAGTTCCTACCAATGGCCTTGTGGTTTATTGTGGAACAATTGTAACAGATGACGGCAAAGAGAAGAAAGTGAACATAGACTTTGAGCCTTTCAAACCAATCAACACATCACTTTACTTGTGTGATAACAAGTTTCACACAGAGGTAATCTTTCACTGAGTGATAAGATGTGTAATAATCACCACAAAAGAACATGTTTGTGGACACTTCCTCATGAAAGGGACAGTGTTGCTTGTCAGAAGTTAGAATTCAACCTCTAAAAAAGACTAATCTGGTCATTGCTCAGGCCTAATTGAGCCCAAAATAAAACATGAAGTTAAAGCTACAGACGTTTAATTGCACTAAAGATGTTGACATCAAATGCTATTTTGAACTGAGTAATAATAATAATAATAATAATGTTTATTTCTTATATTGCGCAGTCTAGCATGCGATAAAAATATGATCGAGTGCGCATTACAACACTAAAATCTTAAAGTAATAAATGGCTAGTCCAAATAATGATAATAATAATAATAATTTACAATTTTCGGAAAACAATAAAAGTAAAATATGAGTTAATAAAAGAACTAATAAAAAGCTAATTTAAAAAGATGTGTCTTTAGTAAAACTTTAAAAATGTTCAATGATTGACATTGTCTAATTTCTAGAGGGAGTCGATTCCATACTTTGGGCGCAGCATTTTCAAACGCCCTATCCCCGAGTGTCTTTTTTGTTCTATAGGTATTGTCCATTAGGAGTATGCCCCGGTATGATCTCAACTGATACCGCGAGCTCTCTTTGATTTTTATCAAGTCTAAAAGATATTGTGGTGCGACGCCGTAGATACATTTGTGAACTAGCATTGCTATCTTGAATTCTATTCTGTGGGTAACCGGAAGCCAGTGCAGGTTGATCAGGGATGGTGTGATAGGATCATACCTAGATATAGTACATACCAGCCGAGCTGCCGCGTTCTGCAGGCGTTGCAGCTTACCAAGATGAACAGCGGGCGTACCATATAATAGACCGTTACAATAGTCTAATCGTGACATTATAATAGCCTGTACAATGGACTTCCTATTATCATATGATAAATACTTTCTAATACGCCGGATGTTATGTAGATGGTAATAAATATTCTGACATATGCTGTTAATATGTGTGGTCATATTCATGTTTGCATCAAACCAAGCACCCAGGTTTCTAACAGAGTAAACCGCAGAAACCTTTACCTCACCTACTTGCAAGTCACTTATCATAACCTTATTTAACTGTGCGCGTGTACCTATAATAAGAAACTCGGTCTTAGCATCGTTCAGCCGAAGTTTGTCTTGGACCATCCAGGTTCTTATGTCCCTGATGCAAGCTTGTAGAGCGTCAACAGCATCCGTCTCAGTAGCAGAACCATCCGGCTTAAATGAGATATAGAGCTGCGTATCATCAGCGTATGCGTGAACGTTAGGGAGATGGGATTCAACAACATCGAAGAGCTTACTTGCGTACAATGTGAAGAGCAAGGGACCAAGACATGAACCTTGAGGTACCCCTTGAGGCAGATCAAAGTCACTCGAATAGCTCCCGTATAAGGGTGATTGGTTCTATTTTCAAGACGTTTCTTTGCCCACAAACCTGCATGGTTGAAAATATTTCTTTTCTGTTGTAAACTTTCGAAGAGAGACTGAAATGTACCATTTGCATCTCTAAGCTAGACAACAAGCATCCCTGTCCCTTCATAAATTATTGAACTCCCCCTGGGAAGAACGGTAACAGTTTGGAGGTTGATTTTGATATAATGGTGAAGAACTCAGTTTGAACAACCCATCCATAAGTGTACATATGTATTTCATTCAGCCCAATTTGCCTGCTTGGTGGATTTTGCATGGAGGAAGAGAGGAAACTGATTAGCACGCAGGTGTGAAACAAGTTTTCAGATCTGCTCATTGTTACCATTTTATGTACCACATGATTTACTTGTGTTTATGTCCACTTTATGTCAAGAATCCATAGCTCATGCCTGTGAAAAAAGTATAATTTGTCTTTTTTTATTGCCAGGCACTTAATGCTCTACTAGCAGATGATAATAAGTTTGGTTTCATTGTAATGGATGGTAATGGTGCACTTTTTGGTGTCCTTTGTGGCAATACAAGGGAGGTTCTTCACAAGTTTACAGTGGATCTTCCAAAGAAGCATGGTTAGTAAGAGTCTATTTCAGAAAATCTGAAATCACCAGTTTCCCACACTTTGACTGACTAATGAAAAAGGAAAAACCATCAGCATTTGCTGGTGGTCTTTTACTTTGATGAAAGTGATAACATAGTCTGTAGACTGAGTATTTTTTCTTGGTTTGCAGGGCGTGGTGGACAGTCTGCTCTTCGTTTTGCTCGATTGAGAATGGAGAAACGTCACAACTATGTTAGGAAAGTAGCTGAGACTGCGGTACAGCTCTACATCAGCAATGACAGGGTGAGTAATAAATACAAGTTTAGTAACACACATACCCACACATTTCTTTTGAAGATTCTAATAAAATTATAATAGTACCCTTCAAAAGTTCTGTCAAAGAAGTTTCATTTGAATGGTAACACCATAGGATTTTGTCCTGAGATTTAAAAGTTGTAGAAATTATGACAAGTTTATGTACAAGTGAAAGGGTTAAGGTGTAGTCATCCTCATCATCAAAATGTTGCACAAACCTTAGCTATCTGCATTGTATATAACTTACTGTTGGTCTTATTTTTTGTTTTTCAGCCTAATGTTACTGGTTTAATCTTAGCTGGTTCTGCTGATTTCAAGAGTGAACTTAGCCAATCAGATATGTTTGACCAGGTCAGTTTAGAATATGTAATAAGTATGACAGTTAGAATTTTTAACTTGCTGCTGTGTGTGTTTGTTAAACACACTGTTTGGCTTCACTTGCAGTCATTGCACCCCAAGTCACTGGTCCTTGTTGTGTAATCAAAAGGTAAACCAGAAAGGAATCTTTCTTAATAGGTTAAGGGTGATATACAGACTAAGTTTCTTGAGGTTGACATCTATGCAAATGCCTTGTCAGTTTTCTACTGCTTCTCCCTAAAACCATTTGACAGCTGTTCCCCATGCACACTACAGTTCCAGTATGTGTGGTTTTATGCTGTCTAGATTAACATGAGTCTTTTCACTCTCCACTGTTTTGCTACTTTTTAAGTAGTGTTCTTACACAGCAGAGAATTTTGCGGGCTCAAACAGCTACATCAAACTCAACCATTCTTTTCATTGGTACAGTAGTGGGGCTAACTAATGTCACTCCCATGACCCTGAATGCCAACCCAAACTAACATTGCTGAAGGAGTTTGTTCTTGTTAGTTCTTTATGTTGCCCTGTTAGTGATGGTCCAGTATGGTGACCTTTTATGTCTTTGTCACTCTTTGCATGTTTCAGAGGCTACAATCAAAAGTACTGAAGCTTGTAGATGTGTCATATGGAGGTGAAAATGGCTTTAATCAGGTCAGATTGTTTTGTAGTAATGTATATAGCATCATAACGCTGTTACTAACCTTCTCGGTCTGTACTGTAAGTTTAAGACCTCTTTGGTTGATTTTAGGCCCAACTATGCAAAGTGCATGAGCTATAATGCAATGGGAGAAAATAGGCTTGAGTACTTACAGTGCAGCCTGAGAAGGCAAGTTCTTAAAGATATTTTCTATCTTTGATGTTAATTAGGCACGTTGAAAATTATACTTTCGAATTAAGAGGGCCTGGCATTAGAATATGGCCTATAAAACTGATGTACACATTGCTTGTACTAACAGAGTTATTTAAAAATAGAAATTTATTATATAACCACCAATGAAATACCAGGTGAGCTTTTGCACAAAAAAACTTGATATCTATCACTGTTGCTATGGCTACATAAAAATTTGCACCTTTCGCACCAAAAAACTATTTAAGTAAAATGGTTTGGTATTTCATCAGTGTTTATATATTAAATAGAACATTACATGGTCACTTAGGGCCGAATCGCACTAGAGCCAGACAAATCAAAAATTGTTTATTTTATGTCAAAAATCTGTCAACGCTTGACTTGTCCTAATGCGATCGCGTATTTTCGAGTTAGCCAAATATTCCGAAGGACAGCCAAACTTCAAAGGCTGCGATGTCCTGCTCCGAGGCAGGACAAATGGATCAAACAACCGAGAATACAATAGCTGGTGTTTGTTTTTTAATTAAGACGTCAAAAATGATGAGTACAACGTGATCTTTGGTTTTCGCGCGTTCTTCACTTTGCAAGATGTCGGACCAAAACAGCCCGCCAAACAGCTTTCCATTTTGCTATCCTCCGGGTTATTTCTTCCAAAACTTTTATGATTCGTATCCATATCGGAATTCCACGACCTCGATGCCCCATGCTACTACCAGTAGTTCTCCGCCAGGACAGAGGAGTAGCAGTCCTCAGTCGGGAAGTAGTGCTAGTGGAACTAGCACTCCGACATGCGAGATTGCCAGCACTTCCACTGAAGGAAACACGAAGCAGGACAAGAGACAGGGCAAGACAACGCAAGACCGATGGACAGAGAACCAGGTGAAATACCTTGTGGATCTGTGGGAGGCGAATATATCAAGGTTGGAGAGCCAACAGTCGAGGAAAGTGTGGGGTGAAATCGCCACTAAAATAAACGAGCAATTCGACCTAGCGCGCCTTCCAAGTCAGTGCGAGAGAAAAATTAAGCACTTAAAAAAGAAGTACAAAGAGGCCAAGGACTGGAATCGATCGCAGACGGGAGGAAATAATGAAACCTGCGAACATTTTGATGTCTTTGACCGCGTGCTCGGAGGCAGGGATGTTGTTACTCTGAAGCACGTGCGGGAAACTGCAAATGCAGCAGCGAAAAATAAGGAGAAATTGCCTGACTCGCCTGCTGGTGACGAGGAGGAGGGATATACCTCGGATCAGGCAGAGGAAGCCCTTCAAGCAATGGGAATCAAAGTCAAAAGCAGGAGCGAGAGGAAGAAGGGAAAAGGAAAGGGAAAAGGGCGCAAGAGAAGCCTGGAGAACGACGATTCTGAGGATTTTGCTAGATTTACCGAGAGAGTGGAGCGCCAGGGTGATAGATTGGCAAATGCTGTAGAGCAAATGCAAGAAATGCAACGAGAGCAAACTCAGGCCATGACTGGTTTCCTCGCTGCTCTGACCAAGGCTATAGAAAAAAATTAAAGGCAACAGTTTTCGTTTATCCTTATTCACTTATCCTGCTTTGTAAACAATTACTCTGAAACTGCAAAGAGACAGTAGTTCAAAGCAATGCTATATTCTAGCGTTTATAAGTTTTCGTTCCAGTTTTTTTACAAAGTCTATATGATCAAGAAAACACGAACAGAACGAAAATAGCTCAAAACAATATGTTATTGTTAAGAGATCAATGATAAATAAAATCACATGGCAATGTACTCTTTTAGTAGTTCTCTGATATCGTCGCCATCCCTCAAAACATTTACATCATTATCATTTCCTCCGTCGTCGTCGCCATCATCCCATTCCCATTCATCGCCGGCATTAATGCAGAAATTGTGTAAAACAGCACATGCTACAACTGTATCACTCACAGAACTAACCCCGCTTTCGATTTGCTTTGTCAAAATACGCCAACGACTTTTCAGAATTCCAAAGGCGCACTCCACGGAAACTCTGGCCGAGGAAAGTTCCTCATTAAATGCAATTTCGTCGGGATCTTGCGTTCCTTCAGGGTAAACTTTTTGTAACCAGGGAGCCAAAAAATAAGCGCTATCGGCCACCAAATATGGACCAATCTCTCGGCCGAGAACATTCATAGTAGGACCAGTCAATAATTCTTGGTTCTCGCATCGTCTGTAAAGGCGACTGTTCCGTAACACGCGTGCATCGTGCAGGGATCCTGGAAAGCCAGCTGCTACATCTAGGAATCTTTTCTTGCCATCAGCCACGGCTTGGACGATTATATCGTAGCGCTGGAATCGACTGAAGTAGTCGACTCTGCTGTCAGTAGGGGCTTTGATCGTGACATGTGTGCAATCAATTGCACCAGCCACATTTGGAAGATCAGAAAGCTCTTCGAAAGTTTCCCTCGTTTCAACAACTTGAGCTTCAGTTTCAGGGAATTTGATATAATCATGTTTTATAGAAACCAGTCCTGTAACGACGTCTTCGACGGCCTCGATTACTGTCGTTGTCCCAACGTTAAAACCAGGCCCAATCGAAACGTATGTTCCTCCATGAGCTAAGCGCGTGAGCCCAATTGCCAATACCTTTTCTGGCTCAATACACCTTCTAAAACGAGTGTTTTGTCTTGTGATGTATGGGCGAAGGACATCCAAAAGCAAACGAAAAGTAGCTCTTCTCATTCGAAGCTGTTTCCTGAAATATTCGTCTGGGATTCTTGGGTCATTATAATGAATATCAAACCATGAATCGGCGGGTCGAGGGAGAACCCAAAAGTACGGATGTCCACGCCGATTTCGTCTTCGCCTTCGAATCTCGAACAATCTCAGAAAAGCTCTCCCCTCTAGTTGAAATTGAGCAAGAGACAAAATTATCAGCATCATCCTCAGCTGAGCGTACATCTGAAATTGTAGGACAAATGCTGCAGCTACAAAAAGCAGAAAACGTCTTGGGATCATGTTGTTATGAAATATGATTTCCCGCCAAGTATTGGATAATGGAAAGGTCACAAGTGTGACGAAATGTAAACATTTCGGATTTGTCCAACGTAAACAAAACGTTAGTGCGATGGAGCGTGGACAACAGACAAATTGTCAGCGGACAAACTTAAAGCCAAATCCTGTGGAGTTTGCCCCGGGACATTCGAAATGTCTGGCTCTAGTGCGATTCGGCCCTTAGAGATACAAAATTTCTCTTCTCGTGTTGAAAAAAATACTTCATTCATTTGCTACGCTCACTCATGAAACATTTGTCAACACTCAAAGAGAAATTTCATATCTCCCCATGGCCATGTAATATCCTCTATATCTTCATTGTCTCAGCCAGTGGCTTGTTTATGGCATTAACCTACTTGAACGTCACTGCACACATTTTTCTGGCACACTTTTTCTTTTTGTTGTTGTTAAGTATTGTTATACTAATGGTTAATAGGTTAGAAAGTAAGTAATTGTTGCAGAATGATAAAAACTGAAATGTCTCGATCTTCAGACAATGTACATTTAAGTTGATGTTACTTAATGGTTTTCTGTATTACAGGCAATTGAACTTGCTTCAGAGGTTCTTGCAAATGTCAAGTTTATTCAAGAAAAGAAACTTATAGGTGACAAATTCATTCTCTTCATTTGTTTTATCTGACTATTCAGCATTCTTATGCTCTGAAAGTACAGTGTAATTGGGCCATTGGAAATTGCTAAGTAAAAACCAAAATAACATTACTTTGCAGCTTTTCAGAGCTTGCCCAAAGGGCAAGCTGTAGCTAGCATTTTCTAGCTCAAAAGCCATTTCTACTAGCACAAAAACCAATTTTTGATGAGCTGGTTTGATTACAGTAATTCTTTTGTAATTTGAATTCCCTGTAAAAAAATTGTTTGCCCATCGGGCAACTTAAAAACAGAATTCAGCCCGATAGCAAAATTCACTAGCCCCAGGCTATCGTACAATACTTTCTTTGCATGCTGCTTTGTAATAATTGTAATATGCAGTATTTGCATTCTGTGGTCAAGTTATAAAACATTAACAATATTGTAATTATATTTACAAGTGTAGCTATTGTACTCAGATCCTGAAACAGTGGCTACACTTGTAGATACACTTTTTTATTAAATTGATCCGTGTATGTTCTGTTCTATCCAATAATATTATTTAGAGTGGGTGTGGTCCTGACTTGCATGCATTTGAAAGTGCGAAATTTGAAAATTGGCCTTATTCAAATTAAGGCAATTAAGTTTTAAGCATAGTGATACTTGTTGAAGGTGAACTCTCTTGTGGTGTTTCTTATTCCTTCTTATTTTTGTGTAGGGAGATACTTTGATGAAATCTCTCAAGATACTGGAAAATTCTGCTTTGGTGTGGAAGATACCTTGAAGGTTTGTTGAAATACCCTGATCTCTTTCTCATGTGTTTTCATTACACAGTTTTGAATTTTTTTAAATGTAGAAAGTCATTGTTTTTGTCAGTTTCCTTACTCAAAAGGGAATGTTTGTTAAGGGTATTTTGCATCAGTGTTAAAGATTCAAGGATAAATATAAATCATTTGAGAAGTTCCAAGGGAATAAAGCGACCTGTTTATGCTCTCTTTTGTTAATTTAAAGAGGAAAAGCACTGAATGAGTGCTAAATTTTACACTTCTTTTTGCAGACTGTAATGATTTGGAAATGACATGTTTTATTTTCAGGGATTAGAAATGGGAGCAGTGGACATACTTATTGTGTGGGAGAATCTTGAAATCAGTCGACTTGTTCTGAAAAATCACCAAACAGATGGTAAGTTAATGCTCAAAAACATATTCTTTACATCTTTAGATACACCTAATTGGAATAACATTGACTTGGAAAAATGAATCAAGGATAAAGCCAAACAGGAATTAATTTGGGTAATTAAGCAACATTCTCAGGGTGGATTCAATTGCAGCCACTGCATTTCCCCACTGGAATTTTTACAACACGCAAATACGACGTCCACGTGCAGATGTTTGGAGCAGATGAAGTGTGATTGTTTAAGTGGTAGCATCTAAAAAAGTGAACTTAACTTTTCTCCCCAGAGGAAAAGATCCTTCACCTTAATCCCGAACAAGAGAAAGACAAGACTTACTCTATTGACAGTGAGGTTTGTAATCAATAACTTATTGACGTTGTTTTACTTTTGAAGCTCATTTGTAGTTTCTGCTGACTGTTTTTTTGCCTGTGTAGACTGGAGTTGAATTGGAGCTTGTTGAAAAGATGCCCCTACTGGAGTGGCTTGCAAACAACTATAAAACATTTGGTAAGTGTTAAAATCTAGATAGCCAATCAGCATTTGGTTGAGTCAATATAGATTTGTGTAAACACTGGATCAATTTAGGTTTTCTGGGAAACTGCCCACCTACCCCTCCCCTAAGCCAACATTTTGCCTTAAGTGAGCTCTAAGTGTTAATGTTGGCTTAAGGGAGGGGTAGGTGGGCAATTGATCCTAAACAACTTCACCTCCTTTTTTACTCCCAGAACCAGGGGTTTTGTTTCAGGCCGGACTCTGGACAGAACATAGGGTTGTTTGACATGTAGCGTCTGGTAGCTCATTCACGAAATTATAGATCACTGATATAGCTTCAGTAAACTGATTATTCTGATGAGGCAATGCAACAGCTGGACTGGACAATGGACACTCTTTCCGATTGCAATTCATTTTGAAATCAACTAAAAAACAAAAAAACTGCAAACTGATACTGATTTTTAATTGCCAAATTGAATATTTCATTTTTTGTGAGCATTATTTTTTTAATGCCTCAAAAGACCTTCTTGGTTAACCAATTCTGGTCCCAGTTGTTCAAAAGTTGGATAGCGCTATCCACCGGTCAACGGATAAATATTAGGAAAACTTTTGATCAACTGGGGCCTGATCCAGGGAACACAGGAAATTGCATTTTGGAGAGTCCCATTTTAAAAATTTTCTGGGGGAAAATTCGGTTTTTTCCCGGACCTCCCTAGAAGTTCGTGCCTCCGGCACTCGAGGTTTGCGCCGGCGGCACGAACGTTTCAAGTTCGCCAGCTAAACCTCTGCATCGGGAACTTCCAAATGCTACTGAAAAACATGCTAGAACTCTTGGTCATGAGACTGAATTCTTATAAATGTCAACAATTATTACACTGTTTTTAGGTGCAACGCTTGAAATCATAACAGACAAATCCCAAGAAGGAGCACAGTTTTGCAAAGGTTTTGGAGGAGTAGGAGGTAACTAGGAATTCTCTTACCGTGTAAACAGTGTTTCAGTTTTTAGCAATTTTGATCACTTCTTTGGAAGACCCTTGAAAGAGACTTCAACCATTTAAAGCAGTAGATATGAATCCCTGCTTGTACTGCAGGCCCATCACAACTATACGCTGTCCAGTGCGCCGATAGTTTGACACTGAAGCATGTTATTCAGAGATTAAAACGGATTATGTTTCCTTAAATACAGTGGAACCCCGTTAATACGGTCACCAGTGGGAGAAAAAAAAATTGGCCTTTTTAACGAATGTTTTTTACAACCTGGCGGCCCAAAAAAAGTGGCCCTAATAACGAGGTGACCGTATTACCGAGGTAGCCGTAAAGTGGGGTTCCACTGTACTTTTCTTTTCTGAACAATATAGAAATTTATGCCTACGGTGTCTCATTTCTGGGCACAATTTCCAAGGATTAATCCGTAGGACCTGAATAAAGTCAACTATCTCTTATTTTATTTGGTCTTTCTGGCAAAAGTTCGTTTCGTTCATTTCTTAGGAGAAGAGGAAATATTTCCCTCTCTGTACCCCTCTTTGCCAAAAAGCGCAGAAAATGTTTCGTTCTTGTACAAACACACGCTACACGCTTCATCTGTAAACATGTATCACTTAAAACTCGCTTACTAAGGTCTTTTCTTTCTTGTGCCTTTATTGCAGGTATTTTGAGGTATCGAGTAGACTTCCAGTCCATGGAACTTGACGAGTACGATAACGATTTTAACGACAGTGATGATGATGACTAGCCCAGCGGTTTTAGGTGACATTTCCCTGCTGCCTGCCTGTACATAGGAGAACAGTCAAAGAAAGCTGTGTGGCTCTCGGAACGAATTGCTCTTCTTTTTTAACATCTCGATTTAACACCCACACTAACAGTAACTTCAAAATGCAATTTAAAAAGAACGATCGGGCGTGTTGTGTTCTTAATTCGCCAGTTTACATGGAAGACTGTACTTCGCCGACCCAGAAGCGGTTGATTCCCGACGGTGGCTTTGTTGGGCGTAATCAGCAGAAATATGAACTGAGTTTGAATACTCAGAACCGATTTCGAAAACAACGAAGATTCTCGTTAAGCTCACTTATTAATCAATATTTTACTGGATGGAGGGCTGAGGTTCTAAAGAAACTGGGGAGTAACCGCAGAATACTCTCCCACTCTTACCGGATCGGCGTTCCTATGGCTTTCCCTTTAAAATTCGGTTGAGGTAGCCTTTAACTACTTGCCCCCTCCCCCTCCCCCTCCCCCCACGTGAACGTGACTCACACAGGCGTTGAAAAATCATCAAAAAATTTGCTTTCTTAAATTTAAAGAAAATAGGAAAATGCGCTTGAAAAATCCCTGAATTTTTTGCTGACAGCGACGCACCTCTTTTGCCAGAAGAGGACTACTAAAAGTGAATTATACATGCATTTCCTTTTGGGTGTTTGCCTAAAGAGGAGACGTCATATGAATATGAAAATTGTTATAAGGTGTGTTTGTTATGTTTCCCTTTTTAATAAATATTATTGTCATGCGTTGTACCTCGGATATTCGGGGCAACCCGAGCCAACATTATGACGTTAATATATTGATAGATTGATTGATCGCAAAAATAGTATTGCCAATGAGGTGTTTCTTGGGTAAAAGATATAAATAAAGACAAAGCTGAGGTCTGTAAAAAGTATGAAATGCGATAATTAGTTGACTTTAGTTTAAAAAGGTAGAAAAGTTGTCGTGTAGCTGGCAAAAAATGCGAACACGCTTTTCACCCTTTCAAACAAGGGTGGGTGACTTGTCATTGTTAATAATAGCCTTTTATGCTGTAGTGCGCTGTATCAATAAACGTCCTCCGAGAATAGTTTGTTAGTGTCTGATGGATTTTTAGCAGTCTGGGCCATAAGTGCGCTCAAATAGACCTTATTCATGATGCCCGCCATCTTTGCACGCGCTTAAAGGACTGATGAGATAAAAGCAGTGTCACGTGGTTTCTCAGGGGGCAAACAAGTGATAAATTTTTCCTATACAAGAAATCGCAGTCGAGTTTGTTCATTCTTGACAACAGATAATGGGTGGAAGTGATCATTGTTACTTTTTTCATGCAAAAGCGACCGTAGATGTCCTCACAACAAGCAATAATGACGCTTATTTTGTCGAAACTCAAACCGTACATTTTGCACGACCATTAAATCGTCGTTTCGTTTTGAGAGAATAAACGAAGTCGACCGCGATTTCTTGCATTGGCAAATTTTACCTTTTTGTTTGTGCCCTGAAATACCACGTGACATTGCTTTTATCCCATCAATCCTAAAGCGCGTGCAAAGACGCGACGGACGGGTATCGCGAATAAGGTCTTTTGAAAGTAATATTGTGTAGTTCCAGAAAATATCCTTCCCCCACCATGGAGGGCAACGGAAATTCCAAGTTGTGTCGTGTAAGGTACTGCCTCCATGTTTCTCATTGACTTACCGCTAATTATTAACTAAGAAAAACCTTTTGCAAGGCAAAATTGAGATAATTAGAAACTGTATTCACCTGAATAGATGAATTTTTCTCTCTTTATCGCAGAAACAATTAACTTTCGCATAATTTTATGGTGCTATATTACTTTTGTCGTAAATCTCTTTACTTGGGGGTGCCTACAGGATTTTATGAAGCACATAAGGTGACCTGCCTCGTACCCAGACGTCTCTCTTTTGATGAAAATGTGCGCGCAAAGGAAGGCGGGAAGGAGTTCATCACCAGTCACTCGTTTCGCGCTCGCCTCTGCCAAGCGAAAAACGAAGCGCCTGAGGAGGAGGCTGTGAGGTGACTTTGTAAAGTTTGTCCCATGTCTTGTTTACATGAGAAGATGGACTGGCTCGCTTTCCGAGGTCCCCAGTCCGCCTTCTTGTAGCTAGCCGGGCCCACCTGTGGGCTGGCTTATCTCATGAAAACAGGCCCTTGGTTATGTGGGTACCTGAAAATCCTTTCGGTACTTTTTTTAACTGATGGGTAACTAAACCAAATAATTGCACCTTGATCATAAATAAGGATTGGGGCTTGGAGACACTCCATAGTCCTTAGTTTCAGCAGCGCGATTTGAGCAGCAGTTTTTAGAAAGGTTACCACAGTTTTTTTTTGTTAGACCTAATTCGGGTGAACAATGACCCCATGATCGTAAGTACATACAGAAAGTCTAGCTAACAAACTTGAAGCTGGCAATCGTTATGCATTTAAGACTCTATCAAATACTGGTAACGACTTGGATTACAATTCGTTTTTGTCCATACCAGGAATGAACTCTTTGAGATTCAGAAGATATGAGCAATCACTTTCATTATTATATAAATGTATTATGTACGGGGTGGGGGGAATAATAAGGGACGAGCCTCTTTTTACTCCTCCCGCCCGTCGAAAACCAGGGAAAAGAGCCCTCTGCTAGCAGGGAATCCCATTCGGCATCCCATTCACACTCGCCAAGTGATCAGATGATTTTTTGAAAAAAGTTCAAATTAAAGCCCTGTATTAAACATTCTTTGTTTTTGTTTCAATTTAATTTCAGTTTATTTTAGTTACTATACACGACCCCATTTTAAAGCTTTTTAGCTGCTAGTCGCATCGTGTTGTTCTCATATTATGGCTGGGCTACCTGTGCCTTGACGCGACGCACGTGTGTTGTGTGACAACCAAAATTGTGTTACATTGATAAACTGTGTAACAAGCAGCGAGTGAAATTGACAGCAAATTCGCATTTCATCAAGTAGAGTCACTGAAGACTTTCATTTTTAAGTGAAATTGCACTTTCGTAATTGTTCAAGTGTGTATATAAACAAACCCCTCATGCGCATCCGGAACAAAAGGCGTTTTATATTCTGCATAATTTATAACGTGTAACGGATTTTATTTTGACATTCGATGCCACCCATATATTTTTCCAAGCTACACTGCAATGGAGTGGTTTGAGTTAAGCTTGATTCGTGCATGTTTTGCAGCATTTCTTTGCTTTGGAGAAACAGAGGTAAGAAGATTAATTGCCAGAAAACTAACGTTAACAGTTAAAGGCTTAATTGTACGTTGCAGAATTTCAATCGGCCTTCTTAGTAATTTCAAAACAAAACTTTAGCAAGAGTCCATTATGGCTTTTGAGTTTAGCTAATGCACGTACACCTATGTTTTAGGATTATTGACAATCATGTTGCGCATGAAGTGCTATACTAAGGTCTTTCCATCCAGTGCTCTCAAAGCAAAGGCCGGTATTTCAAAAGACTACAAGATCGAGTGTACTAGTATTATAAAAAAACTATATTTACGTGTTGCGACTTCCTGGGCAATTGGCAACGGCTAGGAAGTTACAAATCTTAATCTTCCACTTTTGCATATCCCTTCCTAGCTAATTAGATTGCCATGTTTATCGTTGTTTTTCAGGCGAGAGATTACTGTGGAAAGTTTGATGGAAGGGACATCTATTGTGATGAAGGTATTTTTAATTAAAGTACTTCGTTGCGGTTTATCTTACAAATGAAAGATTATGCTCTTACAACCAGTTGGTTGTAGATGTATTTCATTCAAATGGTTTTACCAAGGCTGGGTTTTACCTCAAAGTAGTTTTAAAATGCCTTTTTGACGCTTACATGCGCATGCCAGTGCACGTTTGCATCGCTTGAATTTTTGGATTGGACTCGTGTAAATGTTGATTATCGGATCTAGTTTGTTGTGTACTAGCAGTAATCTTGGATTAGTAGGTGCAAACCAACGATATGTTTAGTTGATTTTCGTTGTTATTCAAACTGTTAAGTATCCATATTGAGCGTTCTTAATTATTCCTTGTAGCATTTCTATACATAGTTTTGTCCAGAGCATGCACTTGCCAGTCATTTGCATTGTGATTTGGGTATCCCTGTACCCAAAATACAGGGGTGGATCCAGGATTTTTCTTAGGAGAGAGTACACCACTAAGAAAAGGTATAACCGACCGGTGACGTAAACAAATTTTAAAAACGAATACAAAGAAGAAGGCTTTTGACTAGGAATAACATAATGTGAACTACTGAGAATACATATCTGCATATTAATATTGTGCAGAATACCAGTTGTATTAGAAAGCCACAGATCATCTCAGGGGGAGGGGTGTGCACCCGCTACACCCTCCCCCAAGATCTGCTCCTGAATTACTAGTGACATGGGTATCCATATTCATATGACACAAAAAAGTAAGTTTATTTCTGAGTATGTTCTATTTCAGGTCAATGCTGTGGAGACTTTGAATGCTGCTCCTACTACAAGTACTATAAAATGTGGTGTAAGTGAAGAATATCATCTGTATTTACATGATGTGAGCATGACAGTTGTTTGGAAAACAAAACAATATATCGTATTGTTTACTCTCAGGGTTTTGGTTGGCTTGGGGAGTGATTTGCATCTTTGCCTGTTGCTGTGCTTACCATCGAAGGCGTAATTTTGCCTACCAATGGCAGATTAGGAATTTTATGTACCCAACAGTACTGCATGGTGAATCTGGAAACACAGCTTCTTATCAACAATTTGAAAACACTCCAGAATACAAACTACCTTCATATGCTGAAGTGGAGGCTATGGACAGTCTGGGTCCCCCTGAAGATGGAGAAGGTGCTCCACCTCCTTATGTGGATCCAACTGCAAATGAGGAATTACAAGAGGAGAACACTGTTTCACAAGAGACGGTGTAGAGTTTTGAAAGTTTTACTGCCAATCTCACCCGATGCAACAGAGGTCTAACTGTAGGAGACTGTATGAGAAGTTTTCATTCTAATGTGTGGATCCCTTTTCAAAGAGAAGGTCTTTAAGAGAATTCTGAGTTAGTAACATGATGTGCATAAGGCTTACTGTTTTCTAACAATGCTTTGTTTTATACTATCAAAGTAACCTTTAAGTCTCAAGTGGCCTTGGACTCTCAAGCTAATCTTCATAGTTTAACCCTTTAAGCCCCAGTATCCACATACAAGTTCTCCAAACTGATCTCCATACATTTCCTTAAAGAATGAGTTGAGAGAATTTGATAAAAGATCAAGGCATTTTTTCTTGGGTGATCACTTTGTATAGATATTGTTGGGAGAAAATTGATCTTGGTCACTATGGGCTTTTTTGTTGGTGTGTTCTTTTTGTAAGAGATTGGTGGGGGAAAATTTTTGTGGTTGCCTTTTGGGGAATTAAGGGGGGGGGGATATTGGGGGGGGGGGCAGGGGGTGCCCCCCCCCCCCCCCCCCCCTGAGATGACCTGCGGTTTTCTAATACAACTGGTATTCTGCAAAAAAAAAACTGTGGTTTATTGGTTTTGAAGTAGAGCAAGAGACAAGTGCACCCCCTCCTAAAAACAATCCTGGATCCGCCCCTGTAAAGGGTTTATCTAACTGGCCAGTAATAGTTCTCATTATAAAGATAAGAATAGTTATAAAAAATTTTTTAAATAATTGTAAACAAAACATATTTTGGAGAAATAGCCTTAGTTTGTTAATGCCAGTAAGAGCAGAAAAAAGTCTTTTAAAAAGTGTGGAGGGATCCTTTAATATAAATTATGTATGTAAATATTTTCGTTATTTTTACAACAATTATTAACAGTATGAAAAGTGTTACTGCTTTAACAATAGCTGGTATATTGTCAGGTTGTATAAGAGTTTGTATACTATGTACATATTTGTATCCTGTAGCATGAATTTTTTTCTCAATTTATGTAATTATGAAATTTAAAAAGGTATTCAAAAATCATGTGAGTAAAATTATATGTAACAACAACATTGTCACTAAGATTTCAAGATTTCAAGTAGGTGGGGAATCAAACAGGTACGGATTTCTTTCTGTTTTATTTTTCTTCTATTTTCAAATGAAAGTAGCCGGGGCCCACATTCATTGTAGCCAGGGAAAATGCCCGGCCCCTGGATCTTAATGACAGCCCTGTAACAATCTTATTTACCGGTACTTTTCTGGGTGTCAAGTTATTTTTCCTTCTCTCTCGCTTCCTTTTTTCTCTTTATCTATAATGTAAATTCTCCTTTTTGAGTTTTCAACCTTTCTTTTAACTGGCATACAAAAATATTACACTTTAGCATATGTTAATAACTTTTCCTCTGAATATATGATAGAGTTAATGACATACAGAGTTTCAGATACTATCTGGAAACATCTATCTGCTAATCTGCCTTTTGTCTTTCTCTTTCTTTTTTTGTGTGTTGTAAAAGATGAAATCTGCAGTTTTATTCTAGTAACCTTCATGACTTGCCAGGCAGTGTTTTGTAAATGAATGAGTTCCCCACAACTGCTAAAAAACATTGTTCAGTGTAGACTGAATCAGAGGATATTGGTTAATGGTATAAAAGCAAACAAAGTTTTTAGAGGTGTTTAACATACACATAGCTGAGGAATGAACAAAACTGTGCAGCTATATTTATTTTAACAATAAAATAAAGATTCCAAGGGGTTAGCAGCATGCAAAGAACGCTATGTCCATGGATCTAGCCTTCAAACTAGTGAGTGTTTGACTAGTGTTTGAGGGGGAATTCAAATTATAGAAGAACTATAATCAATCCTGCTGGTCTGATTTCTTCAGGCTAGTTTATGACCAGTTCATGCCACCTACAGCTTGCACTCGAAAGGCAAGCTGTAAAACTGACTCTCTTTGCACCCTGGTATCAAAGTTAAGCAGAAAGAGGACAGTCCGGGTATTTAGTGATCTTTCAGTGTAACTCCCATCAAGCAGTATAACCATAAAGGTTACTAGAGAAACTATACTTGTTTATTTTTTTTTTTAAACAGAGCATTTCTTTATGTCAGATAGCATACATTTTATTCATATAACAACTCTTCTTCTAAATTCAATGTAAGATATGGAGTTTCTGGCACTATCTGGATAGGTCCCATGATGTTTAAATCTTTGCCAAAGCTTTGTCTTTTGTCTTTTCCTTGTACCTTAGGAGAGATGAAAGGTGAGGGTTTTCTTTGTATAATTTTTGTTGACAAAGGGGTGATATCCAATAAAGGTGTCTCAGGCACCATGTTTCAGGTTACTTTTTCATTCTGATGTAATGCTATTTTACATTGTGGTTTTCCTGAAGTACATGGTATTTGATGAACAAGTGGAGTTTCAGGAACTTTAAAATCTTGGAACATAGTATTGGTACCATCATATGGGGTAGGACTTGAAATCTGGTGACTTATAGGCGGGATAGCTGCATGCTTTGCTCCAGGTCTGATAAAATGTGACGGAAATTCTTGTGTTATCTGAGATTCTTGTAAAAGCTGGAGTTCTAGGAACTCTGAAGATAAGGGCTGCTGGTTCCCCTTCTTCATGAGAACCTTTTTACTTGTCCCTTTGTCTATTTTTGGGCTTTTTGACAATTTCATTGACGTTCCTGCAAAAAAAACATTTTTTTGGTTGCAGAGGAACTGCACTTGGATTACTAGTTCTCCCCTGTTTTTTCCCAGGAAGCATGAAAAGTGCCACCCACATAAAAGTTGACTAAAATTTACCCATATTCCATGGATACTGTCTTGTAATCCACCTGAGACAATTTAATCACTGTCTTGCATATAATGTGAAAAACAAAAAACTTTTCAGCCCGTAAAATAAATTTATTATATTTTTTCTTAATTAATTAAATTAAATTTGAAGAAGTTATCAACCAGCCATGTACAGACCTAGAACTAACTATTACACTATTTACCTTTTGTTTTCCTTACATCTGGCAAGTCTGCAGGGAAATTTTCAGGTCCACTCATACCACTGCCGTCTAGCTGTCCCAGGTGAAAGCAGGCATCAAGGTTTTCTGGAAATGACATTTTATCTGTGGAGGTACAAATACCAGTGATGGAACAGGTAAATTTCTTAAGCAAACTGTAGTGTCTGAAAAACAATTTGCTCGTTTGGTACATAATTACCATTTATCCTGAGTATCAGGGCATCTCCTTGAGGAGATACCTGGAAACATTATTGCTAGTGTCAAATGAAAAGTGGGAGTGTTCCAACTGACCTAAAAATTTGTTTTTGTGTTTCTGTTTTCCAAGTAATTGTTCTCAATCTAGTGTTTCCCTGCAACATAGACGGAAAGTAACCCTACCTCCTGGTCCCTGTGGTTGGATAGCATTATCCACCCTTAGAACTGGGGCCTGGAGGGCTACCTGGTCTAGCTGTAGAATGGTCAAATGATGGCAAGCTCCCCTTTATAAATAAGAGGGCTTAACGCAAGGGCTATCTTGCCATGGAATTTGAATCAAGTGTGGACAAAATGTCAGACAATTTGCTTGCACTCGTGTCTTCTGTTGTAGCTTTTCAGTGCTCTGTGATCTTGAATTCAAAAATGTTCACGAAAATACCACCTATTCACAACATTTTAGCTCCCATTTATTAATTTGCAGCTTGATTACGCTTGAGTTGACGGCCCTCCTGCAAGGGTTACTCCAAATCAAACTTAGGGGAAAAAGTTGATCCTACTTGCAGGGGCCAGGGGGGGTAACCTAGTAAAATCCCTGGTGACCATACTTCTGTACAAGGTGTGAGTGATAGTCACTAGTGCTCTTACCAACTAATACACCTTGAAAGCCTTTTCTTTTCTTTGCAGCGCGGGCAGAATGTAACTTTTCATGGAGGTTTCTTCTACTGATAACAATATCAAGAGGCCTGAACTGTTTTTCTTTCATCGAACCTTCTTTGGTACATCTGGTTGCTCTACTACCAAGTTTACTTTCTTCCAAGTTTTCTTTCAGCTTTAGTGCACTGTTATCGAACAAGAAAGAACAAGAAGAGAAGCTTCAATGTGGTGCATAAAATAATGGGTTCAGCCTGCCTTGCGAAACTTTGCGAGTAGAGGCTTTCGCGGTGTGAAGAGCAGATGGAGGCGATTTTTTGGCTTACCTTCTCAATACAAGAGGTGTAGGTTTAGGCTTTGGAAACGGTATTCTTTCATTTCTACTGCAAGTTCAACGAATAGAAGTTATTTACAAGCTCCATAAACGATCAACTTCAAGCAATAAGCTCCAAAAAAGACTAGTAAATTACCTTGACAAAATAAATAACGCAGCCATTCTTAATGTAAGTCTTATATTGGCCTTTTGCTATACATAAACAGCATTTGCTCCTTGACATTCCCTTCGTATGAGCTTGAAATTTAGGATGAAAAGAAAGTATGAAGTCGATAAAGACAAAAACAAACTACAGCGTATTAAAAATCTCCTCAATCTCTGACATTCTTCAGAGCTAACTTCCTCCCCCTTTTCGTCCATTTTCCCGCCAAAAGGTAGTCGCCAGCCACAAGTTCCCGCCATGAATCTCGTATTCTGTATCCAGAGAATCCAGAGTAAATATCCAGAGTCTTCTGGCCTGTGGGCTAAGTCGGCGGAACGGGCGGATGCCGGGAAACTAGAGTGGGAGTTGTACGTAACCACACAGCTAACTGTTAGTTCAATTGTGTTTCTTTAAAAACTACGGTTGTGTACCATTTACAAGAAGTTTCCGGAAAATCCCGTTTAAAAGTAAATGGAAAACTCCGGGCAACTTTTCGTGTCGAGAACAGTGGGAACATCTGAAAAGGTAATCTTGTTTATCTGGATGGAATGTTTCCTAACGGAAATTGGGAGTCTGTCATTTCTCAAAATCCATCCTTGATACCAGTTTCAGTTTACCAGTTTTTTTTTTGTAAACAACTTTCATGTGTTGTGGTCTTGGATGTGACAGTATTTGGGTCCAGTCAGGAGCACATCAGACCCTGGCCCCAAGAAGCGTGCTCGTGCTACTGGTGTCACTGATCTCAGCAAAAAATCAAACAGTGCAGCCAATCAAAACGATCGAGGAGAATTTTTAGCTTCAGGGAAGTTGAGGTTACCTTCGGGGGTGTCTCACCAGCAAGTAATGTAGCACGTTCCGGTTAAACTGCAGACACCAAAACCCTATACCAAATTAAAGCTTATTAAACTGGCTTTCTTAATATACCAAAAATTTTTGGAAAAAATGCACTGTTGAGTTTTTTTGGGATTTTTAATGCGAACGTCTGAATCTGCTTCCGAAAGCTAACTCATGCACAGCAATGTTTATTTTTCACTTATTTATTTGTTGCAGTCTTTTGGAAGTCTAAGCCCTAAAAAAACGTTGTCGGGGTTTTCCCACTTTCGATTACAATCAGAAGTTACAACGCAAATTGAAAATAGCGCTTAAAAGAAGTTGGATGATCGTACAAAACGTTTTAACAAACAAAAAATTCCCCGACATTTTTTTGTTGCATAAGGTACGGAAAAACGGGAAACAAAATACGTGCAACTTGTCTTGCAACATTGCGGCAAAACGAGTTGAATGGCGATGTTGCGCGTTTTTCCGTCCCTTCACACATTAAAGTAACAATCCCCAAAATTCTAGGTCAATCGAACAAATTAAATTGTCCCCTCTAAGTCGAGAAAAATACAATTAAAATATGTCTCGTTTCGTGAGATGTTACACGGGACGATTCGCCGCGGCGATTTTTAGCGCAACACAACGTTGCAATGTCGCAACAGGGTTGCAACACCGTGTTGCGCTAAAAATCTTCGTTACGAATCGTCTCGTGTCAGTTAAAGATCACCTTAAACAAACTCCGCCCACAAATAGTTCTTAGGAATCTGGGCCAATCAGCGCTTGGATAAAACAACATCTGTTCAATTTTGGCGCACTTTTACTTTCAAATAGCTTGGGTTTCGACTTTTGAGCCATGTTTCAAGGTTCTTCTTTGTTTAACTACTTTGGCAAATAACTGAGACCAAGAGCTATAATGGGTCTATTATTATGGCGATACTTATTTATTATTTTTATGTAGGCTGACTCTGACTACTCTGAGTAAACATGAAGCGGTCCACTCAGCTAAGACAAATGGTCAAAGCATTCTTCTTTTTATTGTCTATCGAAATTTCTTTCCGTTGCTTCTTTAATATTCTTCTGTCTTGTCGTTGTTCATTGAGATTCCCTTTCGCCCTTCACTTTGTGCGCTTTTTTTGAACTTATCAACAGACAAAAAAGAACGCTGCGTCGAGTCGCGAACTAAAAGGAAAACATTCCTGATTATTCATCCACCGACCACGGAAATTTTCGGGAAAAATTCCATAGTGTAGGGCTGTCAATCAAAGGAGTGACTTTTACTTCCGGTACAAACGAAAAACTGTCATTTCTCCGCCAATATCTACTCTTCAATTTTTTCTTTTTTTCCCATAAAGATCACACTAACACCTTTACTTTTAGCCAAAAATAAAAATTTTAACAAAATCTTTCATCGGAAGGTATGCGGTAACCTTAAAATGAGACTTCCTTTTGACCTTCGTTTGGCGTCAGATGCGAAGGAGAGCGAAGCGGCAGAGGGCAACCTTTTCTGTCGTTGCCCTTATCTGAACGCTTGGAAAAGCTGCGATTATGCCACGTGAAATGTCAAACTCTACTAAGGGAGCATTCATAATTTATCTGGAGGGTGGGCTATGATGAGTTCCTTATTTATTCCTTTCATTTTTTTGAAGCCCCCCCCCCCCCCCCCCCCCCCCCCAGTTGTTTTTTTTTTCCCCCCCCCCCCTCTCCATGTATTCCCATGTCTGAAAAATACACCACTTCCGCCTCACCCCCCCCAGCCCCCCTACAACCCACCCACAC